TTGAGTGGCATCCGTATACGAGAGCTCTCGTCAAAGAGATGATTGAACCTCGACTGGACCAATTTCCCGTCGAAACAGCGCAATCTATCTCCGGCATTCTTCGACTGTTTGCAGCATGGTCAAAATCGGCTCATACGGCTCCATTTTTGGTGGAATTCAACCCAGTCATCTTATCCAAAGTCATTGACTGCCTTGACGTGCCTTCAGCCAAGGATGAGGTCAAATGCTTTGTTCTAGACAATGTCATTCGAAACATCATGGCTCTTGTGGCTGTTGAAGAAGACGCTTCGACAACCGATTCGAGGATTCGGAAGAATCGCATACATACCGACATAATTCAACCATACTCCACTTCAATCTTGGGGCGAGTTGGTCATCTGCTCCGACAAAACCCAAGTAAAGAAGTGCTCGAATCTGGGGTCCAGACGGTTGCGGAACTCGCCCCCCATGTCGTTGGTGCCTCCGAATCGCGCAGTATGATTGAGATTGCTACCTTCCTTCTCCGTCAGCCTTCAAAGCGCGTGAACCCTCGTACCAAGCTAGGGTTGCTCAAGATCCTGCACGAGTTCATTCAGCGCTGCGATGACCAAAGCTTGAATGAGCTGCTCGACACAATATACGATGCTATTTGCCCCATGTTCGCTTTTGTCCAAGATCGTACGGCGAGAGAATTGATCTGCGATGTTGTTCAAGATCTCTCCGACACCAACAGTAATCTCCAGGTCATTGCAAAGATATGCCACGATCTCAACTCCTTCGCCAAGGGGCGCTTGGATGAGCCAGACTTTGAACGACGTTCACAGGCGTTCAGCTCCATTAACGAAGAGGCTTATCGAAGTTTTTCTCTCATTCAATGGAAGCCTCTGGTCTACAACATGCTCTACTTCATTAAGGATAACGAAGAGCTTAGCATTAGAGTCAACGCATCCTTATCCTTGCGCCGCTTCACTGAGGTTTCGAGCAGCGAAGAATTCAGGGCGTTCGTATCGTCAGCAGTTCTGCCTGGAATCCAGGCTGGTATGCGCGAGACGTCTGAACTAGTTCGAATCGAATACCTTGCTGTGCTTGAGCATCTGGTCAAGACGCATCCTGACTGGGCTCCTGTAGCAGACCTTCACATACTTCTCTCGGATGATGATGAGGCTTCATTCTTCAGCAACATCTTGCACATTCAGGGTCATCGTCGACTTAGAGCATTGCGTCGTTTGGCTGCCCATGCTTCTCATTTACGTGGTACGAATGTCTACCAGATTCTCATCCCCCTCTTGGAGCACTTCGTTTTCAATAAGGGAGATGATGATGGCGCAGACAGCCTTCTGGGAGAGACCATTAAGACGCTCACGGCGTTGACAGAGTGTCTGGAATGGCCGCAGTTCCGCTCCCTCCTCAAGCGGTATATTGGCTATCTAGCGACCAAAGAAGATCTCCAAAAGCCCATCATTAGATTGATTGCAGGCCTGATGGATGGTCTAAACCAAGCAGGTCGCGCCAAGGGCTATGTTGCCACGACCCCGGCTGGATTAGATGAGCCAACAACTTCTGAGACCAACGACGACTCTGTGGCTATGGATATTGACAAGCCTCAGTCCATACTCACAAAAACCCTTCCTCAGCAGGAAAAACTGAGCAGTGACATGATCAACAACTTTCTTCCCGATCTGACCAACTTCCTACACAAAAAAGACGAAGCGACAGTCAGTTTACGAGTACCCATCGCCGTTGCGATTGCCAAAGTTCTTCTCGTACTTCCTCCACTGGAAATCGAGACACGACTGCCTGGTGTCCTTTTGGATATTTGTTACATCCTCAAGAGTCGTGCCCAAGAAGCTCGTGACATGTCGAGGAATACACTCAGTGACATTGCTACACTCATGGGACCAGCTTACCTAGGTTTCATTCTCAAGGCATTGCGAACAGCGCTCCAGAGAGGTTATCAACTCCATGTTCTTTCCTACACTTTGCACACTATCCTGGTGAAGCTCTCAGACCAGACGAACCCAGGAGATCTCGACTACTGCCTTACAGACCTTGTAGATGTGGTAAGTATCCGATTGTAAGCTATTTCCAGAAAGACATACTAACAATACCAGATCATGGATGATACTTTTGGTGCCGCTGGCCAGGAGAAAGATGCCGAAGAGTACATTTCCAAGATGAAGGAAGTAAAGAGCAGTAAAAGCTTCGATTCGATGGACATCATCGCACGATCTGCCACTCCCTCTCATCTTATCAAGCTCGTACTTCCGATCAGGTCCCTTTTGATTGAGAAGCTTAACGCAAAGATGGTGCAGAAGATTGATGAACTGCTGCGGCGTATCGGTCTCGGTGTACTACAAAATCCCACCGTCAATAATAGGGATATCTTGGTCTTCTGTTATGAGCTTATTCAAGAGGCATATGCAGCAAACACGCCAACTGACAAGAAGGCCAAGATCGACCCTAAAAGCAAGAGATATCTGGTCAACAACAAGGGGGCGGCCAAGTCTGGAGCAAGACTCAGCACTTCTTCGTACCTGTACAAGATGATTCGCTTTGGCATGGATATCCTCCGGACTGTGTTGCGCAAGCACGAAGACCTCCAGACTCCACAGAACTTGGCCGGTTTCTTACCAATTATCGGCGATGCAATGGTGCAAGGGCAAGAAGAAGTGCATGTATCGGCTGTCCGTCTCCTCACGACCATCATCAAGGTACCGATGCCTGAGATGGACGCAAACTGCCCCGTATACATTGACGAAGCAATGCGAGCCATCAAGGGTGCGGTATCTTCCAATACTGAGCTTGCTCAGGCGTCTCTAAAGCTGGTCTCTGCTGTGTTGCGTGAGCGGCCCAACGTACAAGTGAGGGAACGAGATGTTGGACATCTTCTCAAGCGCATGATGCCGGATTTGGATGAGCCTGATCGCTCAGGTGTCATATTCGGCTTCCTCAAAGCTGTCATGAACCGACATTTTGACATTCCAGAGATGTACGAAGCCATGGACAAAGTGGCAGAGATGATGATTACCAACCAGACGAAATCCGCCCGCGACATTGCCCGCAGCCACTTCTTCCAGTTCTTGACATCATACACCCAGAGCGAGAAGCGCTTCAAGAAGCAAATGGAGTTCCTTCTCAAGAACCTTCGATACGAGCATATGGAAGGCAGACAATCCGTCATGGAGGCCCTGGATCTTATCATTGGAAAGGCGCTGCCTCGTTTCCCTGAGAAGGCACAATACGAATACCACGGTATCATGTTCTTGCCACTGGTCAACACTGTAGCAAATGATGACTCGGGTAAATGCCGAGAAATGGCTAGTCTGTTGATCAAGAGATTGTTCCAGCATGCTAGCGACAAGCGACTGCAAAGTTTCGCCACAGATCTTAAGAGTTGGTTAGAGCAAGACGACAATATCGGCTTGAAGCGCCTCGGAATCCAGGTTTGGGGCTTCTATTTTGAAGCCATGGAAGATGACGAAGAGCCAAAAGAACTGGCATACGTCCTCGATCGACTTGACGCAACAATCGGCGAATGTCTGAGCCGACGCGATGAAGACGATTGGGAGCTCTTGTATTACTCCCTCACCCTACTTTCAAAAGTTTGCAAGAAATATACGGACACCATGTTCTCGTCAAGCAAAGATGGTCTGTGGACCGCAGTCCAAGCCAGCGCTACCTATCCGCACATGTGGGTCAAGCTCAAAGCTGCAGAGCTGCTGGGCACCTACTTTGCCCACCTTGGAATTTCAAACAAGGATTCCGGCCTTGGAGCACTGCCATTGAAGGGGTCTGGTGGTCTACAGCTGGCTGAGCAGAACATGACGCAACTGTGCAATGCCTTCTTGCGAAATTTGTTGAATCCAGAAGTCTCGGAACAGCTTTGCCTACAAAGTGTTAAGAATATTGCCTTCATCGCGCGATGCCTCGCTGTCAACGGAGCGAAGTGGCAGTGGCAGAGAGCCGACGAGGACGAGGAGGTGGAAGAGTCTACCATTGTAGCCACCGGTGATGCAGCCACTACAGAAGATGAAGAGGACTTTGATGGTTTCTCGCCTCCACCAGAGAGTATCAAGCCCAAGAAGACGGAAGACACCCCACCAACGGCAATCCACCGCCTAATGATCCGCCTTTCGGGCATCGTTCGAAAAGACAAGAGTACCATGAACGCCAAGACCGCAATCATGAACCTTTTCGATACTATCGCCGCTAAATTTCCTCTCGAGCCTCTTTCCACCTCTCTCCCGCACCTCCTGACTACCCTATCCACCCTCACCGATGCCACCGCAACCTTTCCTCGGTCCGCTGCACAAACTGGTCCTAACAACACGGTCAATGATCCATACAAGGCCCTTGCTGATAAAGCTCGTGAAGTCATGAACAATTTGCAAAAGCGCCTTGGAACGCAAGAGTATTTGAAGATCATGGGAGAAGTACAGAAAGGTGTCAGAGAAAGAAGGGAAGAAAGGCGCAGAAAGAGAAAGGTAGAAGCGATTGTTGACCCGGAGAAGTTTGGCAAGGACAAGCGCAGGAGACATGATGTCAAGAGGATCAAGAGGAAGGAGAGGAGTGCCGAGGAGAGGGGCAAGAGGCGAGGATGGTAAATGTTGCTTTGATATCACATGTAGAAGGATAGTTGGTTTTGCACGATGAAGTTTGCATTTAACGGGCGTTTTTGGTCACCGGCAAAAAGCATAGCATCCTCTAATGTTCAAGTAAATGATTATTTCAATATACCATGATACCCTTCATTGCACCGCTCGCTTTTCTCCAACCACCAGTTTAATTGACATCACCATTAGGCCACCAGCCAGATCAAAGCATCAGAAGGATTCCGAGCATTGCCGACCAAGAATATCACACCACTGTGACGTGAATGAATATTTATACCTCCTGTACCTCTCCTCATATCTCCTATGATGGGCATGGCAAAAACCACAATCACATCACAACCCACAACGTTACCACTCACCTTGCTCTAAACCTTCGACGTCATATCCGCGAACAAGCACTCCTTAACAATGACGACTACCCTAATCGGTCTCCCAAAAACCCTCATACCACCCCTTTTCACAGCCCTAACCCTCGCCCCCCTCATAACCTCCACCGCATCCCTCACCCACGCCTACATGGAATACCTAACCACCAGCGCCTTCCTCAACCCTCCACCCCTCTCCTCGAGACTCAGCAAAGCAATTCTCGCCTCTCCCTCTCCCTTCTCATCCGCACCCACGACCTCAGACCCGGAAACCCACCTTCAGAAAGAAGACGCCGTGAACCAGTTAAAGGAAGCAAACCAGCTCGCCATCCCAGCCTGGTTCACCACATTCTTCAACACAGGCATCTACTCCGTCGTAGCTCTAAACACGCTTACTTTGTCTTTCTCGCTCGCAAATATTTACCTCTTACATCCTTCTTTTACAACGCGAGGGAGCATAGCAAGGCGCTGGTACGTGATCGGAGCGGCAGCGACGGCGGCGCATTATGCGTTTGTGCCGCTTGTGGGGAGGAGTGTGAGGGCTTTGGTGGGGTTGTGCAGTGGAGAGAAGGGAGAGGGGAGGGCGGAGGAGTGGTTGAGGGAGTGGAGGGGGTGGCATGGGGTTAGAATGGGGAGTGTGGATTTAGTTGGTTAGGTGTGTTTTATTGTTGGGGTGGTGGAGGCGGTGGGGGTGAGGGTAGGGGGGTGAGAAAGAGAGCTGTTGACTGTTTTATGCATTCAAGCTGATAGCGAAGACTTGAACAGAGAATAGTTAGCAGGCTTGAAAAATAGTAATGGTCAAGACTCTCTCGATAACTTATATCCAGTCCTGTGGAGAGTGCCAAGTCGATCTCTAGAGGAGACGTTGACATCGTCCTTCTGCTACAAACGACACGGAGCAAAGTCATATCCAACTTACAGCAACAAAGATGTCATCACTCACACATCTCAAGAGTTCCACCTATTAGCACTAAAGGGAGAGTCCTCTCACATGCATATGTCTCTATGCACAAAGTGAAGCAATACGGGCACAGTAATCAATCACTAAAAGCAGCGTGGATCTACATAACACGCGTAAATATCACTGTACATCTCACCCCCTTCTCAAAGCCATCACAGTCACGCAACGCACATACCGTATTCAAAGGACCAGTAAGACAGATCCCCCAGATGGACCGAGGTAATCACGTCGTCAATAAATCCAAGCAGCACATTTGGACATTTCCGTGAGCGACTTTAGCCAAAAAGGGGGGGAGAAAGGAGGGCTTGGTCAGACAATAATCCAAGAAACGTCACCAGAGGCTCTCTCTCGGCCAAATAGCCGCAGTAGCTAGCGCCGTGTCCAAACGGCTGCGGCGAAGCGGAAATGAGCGGAAAAAGGGCAGATTTGGAGATCGACAGCTGTCAGCCAAGGCAGACTAGATCAAGCGTCAAACCAGCCACAACGGTTATGGCCGCCGCTTTCCCATCAAACCTCAGACTTCACAAGTTGAGAAAATGAGAGTTCGATGTATGTTTGCAAAGAAAGAAGAGAATTCCTTGATTCAGACTCGGGCGCTTGAATAAAAAAAAGCTTGCCGACCGTGTGATATGTTTAGAGAAAGGAAAAGAGTTGAGAGAGAAAGAAAGAGAGAGAGAGAAGCTGAGGCCGTATTACAATCTAAAACTCAACTCGACTCGGCCTTAATCCTCTCTGGCCTAGCTAATCCCCGACCTAATAGATGATCTCTCAACACTCTTGAAGAAAATGTAGCAATCTTTTTTGCCATGGTTCGTAAACATATCATGACCTCTTTACGCCATGCGCCGACTTCCATAGGCCCTTCAACGATTGTTTTAGAGCGCGCCAGTCGCCGTTGCCGTTGCGGCAGGTGGTGGCCGAGGGAGGCGTGGAAGGAGTGTCGGTTTTTTCCGCTAATGTCGAATTGGTCGTCCCTGTCGTCGTCGAGAAGCGCGGTTCGCCGCCGCGACTCGAGGATCGATTAGAGATTACGCTATCGGTCTTGAGGCCCACAGGAGTCTTGTCTTGACTTTGCTCGTGCGATATCACCTGTTCCTGAGGCCTCTCGCACCCCTAGTCAATACCATGCTGTTTTTTGAGTTTTTCTAAGTTTTCTTGGCGTTCGGCAAGATCATTCGCAGCTTTGAGCATCTTATCTGGCTGGTGATATAACACTGCGGCAGTTAGTAGCGAGCGCGGAAACGGGTGGGTGACAGGTGGTAGGACGCACCGACGAGATACCGGTTCTGGAAGTTGAAGCCGTTGAGCTTGTCGCAAGCCGATTTTGCGTCCATCACGTCCTCATAGACGACGAAGGCGGTGCCCTTGCTGTGGTTGGCAATACCCTGGCGGATTTGGCTAGGGTTCAGCGTTAGCGATGTAATGTAACGGCAAAAGCTATATGCGCGTGCATATGGCGAGGAAGACGACGTACCGCACAGGGCCGAACTTGCCAAAGAGATCGAAGAGTTCCTCTGGGGTAACGTTGAAGCTGCCATGGGGGTTAGCGCACAGCCACACAAACAGGGTATGGCTATATCGACCTCAGGTTCTTTACAAAGAGAGCTCTGTACAAATGACATGTTAGCGCAAATGTCGTGTGAGTTGGCTGGTGCAGCCTTGGCTGGCGCACGCGATGCGGAGATGGACGAACGTACCGGTTGACTTCCGGGGCCAATTTTCCTCCTCGACTCATACTTTGGCGACGATTATAGACGGTAAAGAACTGGCTGGTGATTGGGAGAGCAGCGGGCGGGTGGTGGTGGGGGGTAGTTGGGAGAGAAGGTGTCGATGGTGAACATGCGGGATCGATGCATGAATGGCGACTAAGGGTCCGAGCGCGTGCATGCACGTGACGAGGGCATCTGAGCCAGGAGTGGCCGCCGCGGTGCAGCAAGGGAGGCGCATACCCACCATCGTCGTATGGATGGATATAGACGTGTACTGCATTGCAAAAGAGGTTGCCGCATGTACCAGAGAAGAAACGAGGGTTCAGAGCGGCAGGCCAGACAGTGTTAGGGCCCCTCTCGTAGCTGTTGCCAAAGAATCGAGCGCTCGAATCGGAGATGCGGGCTTGCAGCGAATGAAGCGGCTCAGCGCTCCATAGCTCGCTCCCCCAACCGCTTGCGCACTCCCCAAGTAGATTCAGACTTGTACGAGCTTCTTGCGGAGACGGCGCTGCTTCTTCACCATATCTCTCCTGCGACGCTGCTGGGCATCCCTTTGCGTTGGTCGCCCCAGTCGCATGGTCGACGGTGATCGCCCTGGTCTCCGGCCGCAACATTCCCAATACAATTCCCCGCGACATCTCCACCACTACCACCTTCCACCACCCCAACCTCGACGCTCGCTCACCCTGCGCCGCGCCGCTGTCGCTTCAATTCAGGATATGCTCGCGCCCGTCTACTTCTCTGCCTGCCTCTCAGCTTGCCCTGCCGCTGCTCCATAGCCGCGCATCCTGAGACGCCAGACCGAGTCCCTCGCACCCCCGAAGCCCCCATCGACCCACATCCGCAACCACCGCGGCCATGAGACGAATCTCGTCCTTCAAGGAGCAGTACAGGCGAGCTTCGGCGCGTGCTGCTACCCCTCCGCCGCCCGTCTACGAGCCGCTGTCGCCCACACTGCCGCCGACCGAGCTCTCATCAGCGCACCCCGCCGGCAAAGCGAATATCCCAACAGCGTCGCTGCCAACCGGCGCACACACTCATAATGCTCACATACAAACGCCTACTCTCGGGCAGAGTACGCGCGCGTCGGGGAAGCTGGCGTCGCCCGCGGTGACGTATGACCCATCCTCGCGATCCGTGCCTCCTCCTGCTGCTCCTCCGCAGCCAGCGACGCCATATTCTCTGGCGCAGGCATCGCCCATTGAGGCCCTCGCAGATGTCGCTGTGACGTCGCAGCATACCAGTCGGCCATTTGTTGAGCTGTCGCGCCATCCTGCATACCCAGCGGCATCGCCCACGACCCTCCCTTATCCGATCGCCGAACGCGCCCCAGCACACGCCTTCCCTAGAGACCATGCATATCCCTTCAACGAGCGGCCCGCAAAGAGGGCGCGCTCTGAAGTATACGGCTCTCCGCAGTATGACCAGTCGCAGTCGAGACCGGCCACGAGCCATATTCCGGGCTGGTCCTACAACGTCGAGCACATGGTGGACAATGGCAGCCGCATCTACCAACCCCCCGGGGAGCCTAACGACCGACTTTCAGACGCACAGCTTTTGCTGGATTTTTTCAATGTTTCTACGCAGACCGCACATTCACCACCTTCAACAGCAAAGCGGTGGAGCATCTCACATACAGCGCCGATGGAACACTCTCCAGGACAAATCCAGCAACCGTGCGAGCCTCCAAGCCCATTCACAGCACCGCAGCCGCCGTCTATCGATCATTATCATCAACACACGCAGCCCGTCGTAGATACGAAACACCCTTTAGAGCAGCCAGCACATGCAGCCCAGACGGCTCCATCTACACAGATCCACCCACCGACCGATGAAGCATCGAATCCAGTCGCACAGCCTGCAATGCAAGACCCCGTTCCTGCAGAAGAGCCCAAGACCAAGAAACAACAGGGTTGGCCGAAAGGGAAGACACGAGGCGGTCGCAGTAGCGCTAGTGCGACAAGTAGCAAACGAAAGAGGACGCCCAAGCCAAAGGGTGCATCTTCTGCAGGGCCAGTAGCACCTGCAGAACAGACTCAATCGCCTCCAAGCCTGCACGCTGAGCAGCCTGCTGTGATTGCAGTTGAGAACTCTGCACCTCCAGCAGAGCTTGCCGAACCCGCACATACCTCCCCCACACAAGCCCGCCGTCATTCCTTTTCCACATCGACTATACCGAACTCGATCGAACCACCGCTCTCAGACTCTTCACGCGCCAAGTCACTTCCTCTTGGTTCACAACAGGCTGCGTCTGCTCCTGTCGATGCACCTGCTGAGCCTGCAAATGCTCCAGTCGAACCCGAACTCATCTGCGCTTCGTGCAAGTCTTCCGAGTCGGCGATCAAAGTTGGCGACGGCGAACAATGGATAGGGTGCGACGGCTGCAAAGAGTGGTACCACTACCCCTGCGCGGGGTTCAACAGCGAACGGGAGGTCCGGGAGGTAAACAAATTCTACTGCGAGCCGTGTAGACCCAAGTTTGGTGAAACAACGAGTAGGTCTACCGACGCACATTGGGCTTATAGTTCTAACATGGTCCAGAGGTTCGTAAATCCGTCAGAGCCCACACCACTGTTGACTACGCTGGTCTAAACGAAGGCGTACTCAAGACGTCAGACGATAACCCAGAACACCACTACATTGCAGCATTCAAGAACGGTGACATTGAGTTCACGCCCGAGACATTCGCGCGCGTGCCGGCACAGCTCATCACCGGTGATTTTCTTGAAAAGATGAATGGATTCAAAGAACCAATTGTGATTCCTAGCGATATGAACCCCCCACGAGGACTACGAATCGAAGATACGAATGAACAAAAGGACGAGCTCACATCATACTTTGAATATGAAATAGTTGCGGACGATGGTCAGGACAGTCTCGATATGGTTATTCCAAAGGGGTTGACTGTTCGCCGTGTGGCAGAACTCTATGGTCCGAACGAACCTGTGCCGGTGATTGATGTCAAGGCTCAGGAGGGCGAGGGCAAGAAGTGGACCATGGGGAAATGGGCAGATTACTATGAGCAACAAGGAGAGAAGCCTGTGCGGAACGTCATAAGTCTCGAGGTTTCTCGAAGTCGACTTGGAAAACTGATCCGACGGCCTAAAGCTGTCCGGGATATGGACCTGCAAGACTCCGTGTGGCGGGAGGATGACAAGGCCGCCCCACCACCAGTGCAGTTCTACTGCCTGATGTCTGTCGCAGACTGCTTCACCGACTTTCATATCGACTTTGGCGGTTCTTCGGTATACTACCACATCGTCAAGGGAAAAAAGGTCTTCTTCTTTATCCCACCAACTAAACAAAATCTCAAAAAGTACGAGGACTGGTGTCTCTCGCCCAATCAAGGCCACGACTGGCTCGGCAAGCAAGTCAAGGAGTGCTATCGGGTTGACTTATACCCAGGGGACACGATGCTGATCCCCTCAGGCTGGATCCATGCGGTCTGGACACCTGAGGACAGTCTCGTTATTGGAGGCAATTTCCTCACTCGCATACATTACGGCATGCAGATCAAGATTCTGGAAATCGAAAAGAACACCAAGGTCGCTTTGCAGTTTCGGTACCCTTTCTTCCAAAAGATCATGTGGTTGACCGTTATCAAGTACCTAGAGGAGGACCCCGTTCCTGGTCCAGTCCAAGAACTCCTACAAAGCGGCGAACAGTTCAAACGATCCACACCTATCTACTGCGAGCCCGACAGATTTGGACACAACTCGCATCTTGGCGCGCAAAACTACAATCGACGATACTACCCTAAGCATGAGCTGGAAGGCCTGACTGATCTTCTTAACTACATCTGGAGGACCGTTCTCATTACAGAGGGGAAAATTGAGGTACCGCAAAAGACTCGAAGTGCAGTCAACAAATCAATACCCAAAGGGCATGGCGAACCACTTGCGCTAGCACGGCGATTTGCCATGTGGATTGCCTGGAAACGTGGAAACGAAACAATACCGCCATGGGCTTTCTCGGATGCTATCCTTCCTGAGGTGACTGAGACTACAGAGAAGAAGCTCAGCGCTGCTCAAGTCAAGAGATTGGAGCGGGAGACGCTTCATGAAGCCCTACGAGCAACAGCAGAAAGGTCTTCAGCTCGGATCAAAGCCTCTGACGTGGTTCCAGAGCCTTCTCCTCCTGTCGAGATGGAGAACTTCAACAATTTTGACATGGTACCCGTCACTTCAGGCCCGCTGACAGGCTTCCTCCGCCCATCGGCAAACAATCCGCATATCACAACGCCGAAAACTTCTCAGCTCGGACCCAAACGTGTTGCGTGTGATGCTTGCAGGAAACGGCGGATACGATGCAAGCACAAGGACGAGCTTATTGATACGTCAAAGCCCGGAATGCACACCATTGATCTTTCGGGATCTTATGGTATCTCAGTCAAACGTCGACTGAGCGATCACTCCATCGCAGACAGTCTTTCCAACGCCCCCAATGGTCCTGTAAATGGTGGTCCTATCATGGCAGACGTAAATGGAGATCCATATGCACTCAAGTCCGGCAGAGTGAAGGCGTGTGCTGACTGTCGGAAGAGCAAGGTAAGGCTCGCCAAACCACTCCACTACGCACAACTGATGAATATAGCGTCGTTGCATACACGATGAGTACGGCAACGTTGACCCGATCAAAGCCAATGAAATTCCCATCCCAAGGGGTTCCGCATCCAAGAAACGCCGGGTTAGTGACGAAGACTCAGCATCAACGGCGAAACGACTGAGACACGCGTCATCATACGACGAAGAATACATGAATGGAGACATGCATGCGCGGCACTCCATGCCCAGTCAATTCAACGGTGGCTCATCTTTCCTCCAAGACATTGCCTACTCAGCTCAGCAAGCGTTGGATCAGACGCCCGAAAACGATGAGCTTGTACCTGTTGATCCTGCTTTACAAGCATACACGAATGGTGACTACAGCAATATGAACGCAGCGGCCTCGTACCACAGCAACGGAGATACGGTCATGTCGTCTGTCGAGTACCAACCCACCGAATCCATGCCCATGAATGGTGTCGAGTTTATACAGCACAGCGGCGAGCCCCATGGACCCAGCGTTGAACCACTTACGCCTGGTCCAGTAACTCACAACGAAACTACGAATATACAGACAAATGGCTTCACATCAAAATCTGCAGCCGAGCCTCATGCAGTTCGCCATGTCTCGTCACCGGTCTCAGCCGCTTCACCGACAGCTAATGGCTACAATCCGTACATAACCTCACCAGCCACAAACAATTACAACAACTTCACCGCCAACTCTGACTTTCCTCCTCCACCTGCCACGCCCACCGTCAATGCATACAAGCCAGCCCGTACTCAACAGCAGCATTCAGCCCGTAAATCAAGCCACACACCTTCACGGGGTGGTCGAAACAGCAAGACACCAAAATCGACACCAGGCAGTAAGAAGCACGACAACAATGGGAACGGCATTAAGCTCGAAAACGGCATGGCTATGGGCACAGGCATGGGTATGAACATGGGCATGCTGAATATGATTGATCCCAATCTAGACCAAGCAAGCTTCGATCTTATCAAGCAGCTCCAGCAAGAAGACCTCGGCTTGAGAAGGAGAAGCCGGTGATGTTGACTGGGGGGATTTTGGCTGTACCTTCCAACGGCTTCCGATTTTCTTTACTTTTCGTCTTTTTTCCATATTACACTGCATATTTGTGCTTTGCTTTGCACAAAAAAACTCCCCACATATTCGGTTGGGAACCTTATCTCTGCCTCTCTCTCCCTCTCTCTTTCTACTACACATATTCATGGCTTAGGCAGGATGACGAGAAACAAAAACCAGAGAACGCAAAGAAAGAATCAAAAGCTGGTCGGCTTCACCTGGCGTACTTTCCTTTCATTCATTTATCTTGGGTAGCATCTGGATTCCTACTTATTATGGATTTTCTCCTGTTCTTTGTGTTAAAGTCTCGAATGTTTTTGTTTTCCTTTTTTTCCTTTTTCTTTTGCTTATACCCAATTGGCACTGGGAGAGTGTACATTGCACACCTTGGCTTTTTTCTTCTTCTTTTTCTTTTTCATCGTATGGGGGGCATGTGCGTCGGGGGGGCAGGCGTTTTTCACATATCGCTTTCGATGGGTTTCTTAAAGCCAGCATATGGGTACTGTGCTTAGTTTCTTTCGTTTACATGTTTAAGTTGCAGGTATAGAAATCCTTCTTTGACACTGCCAGATTAGTAATGAAGATGTCTAGCAAAAACAAAAAGATTCAGAACAAAGAATATGCTGTGCCTTGGTCAAAGTGACTTGCTTGTGTACATGTTCAAGTTGTTCATTTCATTGGACGTGTCTATTTCGTGACTGGTATAGTAGATACGTGGCAGCTGATCGATGGCGGAATTTGGATTTCTGCCGCCACTGCCATGACCTAGAGACATGATAGCTACTGCGGCCGAGATGCTCCTTAGTCCAACGCGCTCGTAACATTGGAGAACTCGCCCTTCTTGAGCTTAGTCTCCCAGAAGATAGGGTTCGTGTCGTTGAATCCATGCTTGACCCATCCGTCTTCCTTGACGTGGTACAAGTTGATGAAACCTCCAGAGTATGCATCTCGGTGAGTAGCAGCGAGAATACTCCTTCGGCCCAGTTCGAGCGCCTCGTCATCCTCAAGGTCGTACTTGTATTGTGCGTCGAGCACACCATATGCGAATGTCTGACCGGAACCGACACAGAAGAGGTTACCGGCTAGACGTGTGCCGTCACTGTCGATGTAGTAGAGGGCGGGGCCTTCCTGTGGTGTCACACCAGCGCACATGGTTCCCTGTGGGCTGTCATTAGGTTGGCTGACTAGTATTGGAATATAGAGTAACTCACCATACTCAGACCCATGCCCTTGTATGAGTAGACCAAGTTGGCCAGGATCTTAGACGCTGCAGCGACAGAGATGCGGCGCTTGTGTCGCAGCTCATGGAGACGGCATTGCATTCCAAGGTATGCGAGCCAGTATTGGCAGTCCTACAACACGTCAGAATACAGTCTGTCCCGCACTATCGCCTTGATATAACCAAGTACATACAGCAGCGCCACCAGCCATGGTTCCCAGCAAGCAGCTGTTGATCTCGATGACCTTCTTAACCGTCTGACTTGCTATCCAGTTTCCAGCCGTGGCACGCGAGTCGGTTGCAACAATGATGCCGCCCTTGAAGCGGAAAGCAAGGGTTGTGGTACCGTGGGCGATCTTGATGGGGCAGTTGGGGTTGGAGTAGTCGTCCGTCATTGCGCGGAGCCATGATGCTGACTGTACCACTGTCAGTAATTGTGCACTTTCTGGAATTGATCCAGGGATGTAGAACGCACCTGAGCGACGGGTGGAAGGGCAAACTTGAGGGACAGTTCTGGGGCGCCGCTGTAGAGCTGCAGTTGCTCCTCCTCAGACGGGCCCTCCTCCGTGTAGGCCGGTCGGCTGTACTGCGACACTAATGAGTCCATGACTGTGACGTCTGTATGAACTGGCGACTATCAAAGGGTATCGAAAACGTGATTGAGAAGTCGCAGTGGGGTGGTGTTGGGCTGTTTGGAGTGGTGATGTGAGCTCCAAGCTCCGGCGTTGTCGGGAATGCCAAGGCCAGCCGCGTCCCAGCTGCTGCCTTCACCTCCCACCTCGTCGCACCGTCTTCAACACCAGAAGCATCGTGGACCGCACAGTTTCGGTATCGCTTTCGCATCGCCTGTGCCACTGGATATATCCGTATATAATCATCACTCACGTATCTTCAGCTTGTCTTTCAAGCCGGTCCGATGTTATTCACATGGTTACGCCCGTCTCTGTCTGTGTAGACACCCATGACGCAGAGGACTTGTTTTTTACGATAGCATACAGCTCACATGAACAACATCATGTCTTGCAAAACTAAAGAGAAGGAAAAAGGACGTAGTTGCTATGACGACACTTATCGTACCAGAGGCACGCGTACTGCACTACACGCCGACGTACTACCGCAGTGTGGGCTCAACTGCAGAGAAGGACATAGTCAACACCTTATTTACTAAGTCAAGTCCTACCATATACGTCACCGGGATCCACAGGGTCCTCCGCCGCAAGGCGCAACAAACAAATGCTGTGGCTGAACCGTCACATGCCCTTCCGATTGAAACTCGAGGTCATCCAAGACAATGGCGGCAACCCACGCGCGCATTTTCCGACCTCACCTCTTCTGTCACTCGCCCACCACACTAGAACACATGTTTGCATCTACCCGTATGCAGGCACCGTCACTAATCATCCAGGCACTGCTTTTGCCCACATATGTCTTATTCGAACCCTGCCTTGCTTTCAGACGAGCCAGGCGCGTGGTAGTACCGTCTCGCGCATGCGCCGTGGGACTAGCGGGTGACTGTTTAAGGCACAACAGTCATGGTAGTAGGTATATACACACAGAGAAAAGGACGTCAAATCAAGAGAGAGGAGTTGATGAGAGAAGGTGGATATGATCATATGTACAAGAAAGGTCGTGTGCCAGTCTTAGAATAAGAAACCAGGTACTTCCCTCATTGTTGACAACTCTTCTTTCAAGTCTTCTGAATGCACCGTCCTCACCATCCAACGACTTATCCATATTATCACCCTTCCCGTCCCCCGTCATCACACATTCCAGCTTTCTCACCATCTGCATATCACCGCCTCGCACCACCCGCACGTCTACACCCCCTCCCACGGATCGACTCCGGGGTCGATATCACTGCCCCCCGTCACTACAACAACAATGTGTTGGGTCACCCTCACCCCGTCCAGAGGCAAGAAGAAAGGCTACCAGTCTACCTCGGATTCCTCTTGTGTGGAGGACATCGTTCGCGTACATCGTAACCCGGCGTCTCCACGCTTGACCAACGTGCGTATCAAGGCACCTAGTGTGGACGTCGAGGTAGACGAGAAACTCACTCACGCACATGCCTATCCTCACTTGCAGCATCACCACCGACACCCGCATCTCCATCCACTACACATGCACCCTATACACGGCGAGCACCATCTTGGCGTCAGCCTAGGTCTCGGCCACCAGCACTACCGTGGCAGCCTCGACATGTCTGAGACCTGGGACCCCAAGCTACGAGGCCACGGTCGAAAACGATCAATCCCGTCACCATGTCCCCCTCCACCACCTTCAACATGTCCTCCACCAGAACCCGAACCAGCACCAGCACCATCACACCCTCCACCACCCTCTTGCTCCCCTTCTTCCTCACCACCTCCTTCAACATCCCCGGCAGATACCTCCCCCCTCATCCCCCCAACCATCCCCCGCGACCCAATCTACCACACCCAAATTATCCAACCCACCTCCCCCCGCACCCGCAACCCCGGCCCCAGCACCGTCCGCGAAACAACCCGCATAGCCCTACGCACCAGCACCAGCAACCAGCCGCAGCAACAGCAGCGACACCCCAGAAATAATCTCCGCAGAGTAGCCGGCTACCAGGTGCTGGGCCGCCAGGTCCCTTGGGACTGGGATTGCATCAGTAGCACCGCTGGCAGCAGTAATGCGGGGGCAAAGGGTAAGTGGGTAAGGCGGAAGAGTGGGGGAGCGGGACTCGTCTATCCGCCGTTTGGGGACGCGGAGAAGTGGATGTGAGAAAGTGGCGTTGAAAGAAGGAGATAAGGAAGGGGAGAAAATATGCCATTAAAAGAGGCGTATTTTCATGCTTACTAGGACCACGCTAGTAAGTAGGTAAAGAAGGTTTCTGGGGTCTAAAGGGGGGAGAGGGGGGGATGTGTTTAATGCGCCCGCGTGTGCGGGAGGGGGGGGGGTGCGGGAAAGATGAGGTATGAAGCGGGAAGATGGATTGATCACCCAAACACCGACGAATTACGACAACGACTCTTGTAATCTCCTTTGTTTGCTAATTTCTTTTTTTTCTTGTTTCACTTATTCACGAGTATGAGCCTTCTATTCTCTTTCTTTTGTTGTTCTCTTTAAATTAATGTTGGGTGTGTGTATATACATACCTGCATTGCGTAATGCGATAAGATACCCCCCTCCATAGCACACGCCCAAATTCAGGCAACCCAATGCCTCAGTAACCCCCCCCCATTATTAAATCGCTATTCAAAACTTCTTTCGTGTGTACCTGGCACCCAGCCCTATCGTCTGAGGCATAAACTTTGCCTCCCTTGTGTCGTGACACTTTTTAGGGGTCCTTGGATCTTGGCTATGGGTCGTTCGTGTGTGCGCAGTGTGTGCCACACAAGGATAACAAAACTTTGCACCAACATTTTTCCCCATTAACGACATACCTGCCTTGTTCGTGTGGCATAAAGCGATGCTATGCAAGCACGTACTAGATGAAGCAGCGCTAGCCCTACGGGTGCAGATCAACCGCTTGCAGCCTGACAAATCCGCGCCGCAAAAACTCGTGTCTAGCGTTTCACCACATTGCCTCAGATTGAGGCCATGCCTTGGCGGCTTTCGCCAAGTTGTCGCTAACATCGTATGACTATACGCCGTAAGAAAGGGTACAAGGTGGAGGAAAGGGAGGGTGCGAGTATCAAATGGAACAGGATTTTTGCTTGTTTGTTCTTGCATGTATCGTACATTGATGTCTTTGATTGCAATTCGGGGGGGAAATAGGGGTATTCTTGCGCTACAAAAAATATAGGATATCGGGACAGTATATGTTACAGGTATATGCTCGCTATGCAGGTCGTCATGATGACAATGATCGTGGGTGGAAACATGAACAAATCAGAAATGAAGGGTGTGATGGAACCCGCGGAATACTTCCTGCCATCGGTTGAAAAGAAAGCGATCATCGAGTGCGTATCTGCTAATAAGGTATTACGTCTAGCGCGTATCTTAACAGCAGTGTGACAAGTCATCTTTTTGTACTGGAAATCTCAATATATGTCGTCATCTCCCTGAATTCGGACCCCACGAGGGTCTTGCGCTGTCTGTTGGCAATGGTGGAGGATTGGAAGCACCGTTTCCAGCAGTGCTGTACCAATTATTCACGCTGCTCCTTCGTTTGGTTCGCGTGGGTTGCCTGCTGAGACCGCCGAACCCGAGGACTTCGGGTCGGTCAAGATCGAATGGATCAGATTGTCGAATTGTTCGACGAGCAGGTGTAACCGGTGTGAACACGTTGGTTGAAGGTCTGCTCGGACCTGGCTCTCCGAAAAACATGCCGGAATCACGAGTGGCGAAAGTCGAGTTTGCATCGAAAGTCGCAGTCGGATTGAAATCTGGCAACGCCATGGAAGACCGTTGACGGTGATGTTGTGGCAATACGGCCTGGTTTGGTAGTGGCGGTACATTAGGTGCGTCGTTAAACGGATTTGCTGTGGGGTAAAGAGACCATGTAGTATATGAGCTCTGTCCCGAAATCGAGCTCATTGCGCGTTGGTGGGTTTGAGCTGGTCCTCTCTCCCGCGTTGGCACGACTGGCGGTGGATCATAAACGGATGTGAATGGATCTCTTGGTTCAGGATCCGCAGTAGCTGCAGGGACTTGGGGCGTAGCAGGCGTGCTCTTTGGATCTGGGTTGAGTATCAAAAGCGGACGCATCTGCTGTGGGTCCGCGAATGGGTTCGGTGTGCCTGTATCCTCTGCAATGTCAGGAAATCGATAGGCAGATATACTGCTGGGCTTTTTGCGAAGTAGATTTCTCTCGCTCTTCTTGCTTGATATGCTGCCGCTGGAACCTGGGCGCCTGTGCGGGTATGCGCCTTGTGGCTCACTGTTTGATCGAATCCGTCCGTTGGAGTCCCTCGAGTATATTGAATCCGCACTGGCCTTTGGAACATGTCGTTGATAGGAGTTTTGGGTAGATCCAGTTTGGCTTCCTTTCAGCCTTGCAACAAATGCGCCTAGTCCAGTCGGTATTGTCCTGATTTTTGATAGCAAACTTGAGTCACTTTGCCTCTTCTCATTCCACCTCCTTGGCTTCGACTTTCGCTTACGCAGGACGAGAAAGAGCAGCCCAATAATCAGAGCCAGCGCCGCAATACCTCCAAAAACGCCGCCCAAAATACCAGCAAGGTTCGTATTGGAACCGAGAGTCAAGGGACCATCATCGTTGGAGGATCCTTGACCTGGTGCGATGATTCCAGCAGACCCCTCGTTCGACTCTCCTGCAGACCCTGCAAGTGGGGAGCTTGTCACTCGTGGTTGGCCTGCGGCTGGTGCAGTGATGGATGACTGTGGACTTGTGTCGGACTCCACAGGAACTGGTGGATTTATGTTCACAGAGACTGAAGTGGCAGATGCAAGCGGCGCAGTGGGACTGGCCGGTGCGCTCGAAACTTCAGCGGGTGATGGAGGAGCAACTCCTGATGTAGGATTAGAGTTTGTTGGTATAGCATCAGGAGTGACAGATGGTGGATCACGATTGTTTTGTGATTCCTGTGTAGGAGCTGGCGCCACTACAGGAGCTTGCAAGGGCACTTCAACCGTAGCCAAGGCTTCTATCGGTTGCTCCTGAGCAGCCGAAGCTGGGTTTGGAGACGGAAGAGCAAGCGGTACTATGCGCGCAGAGGATGACGTAAGGACTGTACTAAGCGTACCTGTCGACGATATTCCTGCTACTGCATCCACTGTAGGTGAGATGGTACTAGTAGGTGGTTGCTGTGGTGCCTGTTCTGGGGGTGGGGATAGTGTTGATAAGGGAGCCGGTAGCGATGGTGGTGGCGGTGGGGATGATGGCGGCGGTGGTGGCGGAGGAGGAGGAGGAGGAGGGGAAGAAGGAGCCTGAGCAGTAGTCGTCTCTATCTGCGGCGCTGGCTGAGGGGTTGTAGAAGTGGAGGCTATGACTTGGGAAGAGGTCACAACGGAGGCTGAAGTTGTTGAAGTTGTGACTGCGACACGGGCGCGAGACCGCGTACACCGTCTCCCATTGACGGTTGTAATCGACTCTGGTGGAGAGGCCATTCGAGCGTTAAGTCATAGAAAGACAGACACGCAGAAAAGGACGCAAAGAAAGAGATTAAGAGAAAAAAACACTAGGCGCCGCGGACGCTCTGCGCATGTTAACCCGGGAAATGGGGAATGTCACTGTATGTGGTAGTGGACGAATAATGAACAAAGAGAAAACGTTGTGGTAATTAGAGAAGCAACCGGGTACTCGTCAACCGTTGGTATACCATGGTGCGCTTGTAGCCGTCTGAAACGCGGGCGGCTTCATGTCGCGCCTCGAACAGGACTTGAAGCGCCGTAGGCCTCGCAGTTCCTGAACAGCGGTAGCCTCGCCGTCTCAGCACACAAACTAGCCACTTGATGGAAGATGCTGGCAGCCGTCATAGCGGCCATGGCAATAGCTATGGCCATGTATGTTAGCTGGCGGTGAGAATTGTGGTTGAGGGGCAGAGGTAGAGAGGGGCAGAGAGAAAGACGCGCCCTTGCCCCTCTCTCGCTGCGTAGTCGAGCGACGACTAGCCACAGTTGTGCCTCCGCTACTTACTGAGTACCAGCACGTGACTCTCTCCCCCTTCCTTCCTCACTTCCTCCACCATTGGCAGCACGCTCAACGCTCAACGCTCAACCCAATGGGCCATGCCATAGCACGCCTACTCCAGACAAGTCGCCGTCCTGGTTGCAAGCATCTTTGCCAGCACCTGCCCAACCGAGTCAGGCGCATCGGACGACCTTCACATACCAACCGTCTTGGGGCCAGGTAGCGCCCACCAGAGTGCTGCTGGTACCTGGTAGCCAAGCCAGCGACACGACAAGCATAGCAGCTGTCAGAAGCCGTGATCCGGGGTCCATTACTCCTCGAGGTGGCTTGGTATGCATCACCATTGCATGCCCGTCAACATCCATTGTCTGTGGCATGCACATGTGGAGACGCTGGTACCCTGGATGCGCACGTCCGGTTTAGGGATCCGCGGCCACTACTCCATCTCGACGTTGCCAACTCCTTGCCCTTCTCCTCCCTGAGTCGAGGGTCGACCGAGGCCCAATTGCACAAGCTTGCCACCATGTTCACCTTCAGCGGTAAGTATCGTCTTCTTGTGTTCCCCTCCCTCCCTGTCGTTTCTTTGGGGGGGGCTTCACGTGGGCGCATGCCGAGGCCCCGTTTGCATGATGTCTCAAACACATATCCCTCACCCAACAGCATTACACATCATCTCAACACAGCATCAAGCACTTTTGTGAAGCCTAGTGTATATGCCGACTTGTTTCCTGCTCCCTCCGAACCTCTTCGGGTGCCGGGCTGCAAGTTGTGCTGCGCGTGCTCGTCTGTTTGTTGGACATTTCACACATGTTTCGTCTGAGACATGTAGTGCACGTGCAATATAGTCGCTGATACAGGGCTTTCTTCCATAGGAAACCTACTGGCGGGGCAATATGACACGCAGAAACAGAGGTCCCCTCCACCGAAACCGACACCCGTCACGTTTCCTGCTCTCCACCCGCCCGACCCGTCAACACAAGCACCACCAGCTTCGTGGTCCCAGCCAGGTGCCAGGATAACGGACCATTTTCTGCGACTGAAGAAGCCCTCCGATGTCAGTCGGGAGACCTTGGCCTTGCTAAATGTCACGTTTCAGCCAGAAAGTGACCTGGAAACATTCCTTTCGTCCCTGTCAAACAATGCAGAGTCGTTCTTGCCTCCCACATCCTGGTTTGGCAGCCCCGGAGACCAACAGTCGTCCTCAAATACTGGAACTCCTCCCAAACTTCTGAGCAATGGTAGAAAAGCACCAGACCAGCGTGACTTCTTTGTCCGTTCAAAAGAACTATTCTTCAACAATGCCGACGCCTTCTCTACCCTCACACGAAAAGGGTGTGGAAGTCAACCGCCACTTCGACTGGCTCATTTCCGGAAATTCTGGGAAGGACTTGATAACCTGGCTTACTATTGGGACACCTCTTTGGACGAGTACTTGCCCCCAGCTCAAGGAGCAAACAGTGATGAACGAACAGCCTCCAACCCCCTGCCGGGGTCCACTGAAACCAATCCCCAAGAGGCCTCGGGTGAAACCGACCTGGAGAGGGCATCTGAACCCTGCATTCTTGGCACAGAGGAGCCTCGAAAGAAGGCAAAGGTAGGAGACAGTAGAGGTGACAAGCAGTCGATATACGTCCAAAACGATAACGGTTCTGGAAGGGACCTGTCAAAGGACTCGGCACATCCAGAACGCATACGTCGAAACAACGTTGACCCGCTTGGAAACCCAAGGGGCACTAACAAAAAAGCCGAGAACAAGCCAGCCGATGTTCCTCGAGGCACCTATAGAGGCTATCGTATAGGAAATGGGACTGGGATGCCTGACCAGTATCGCATAGAGTGTGTGCGTTCTTTCCTAGAGCCTATTGCATGGGCTTTTGGTGTAACACTCTTTCCACATCGCCGTCCGCCTGTACTCACAATCGAGCACATCCGATTTCCGGTCCGTATGAGCTCTGTAGCTTGGCGCGGCCCTCAGGATAGAGTCAAGGCTAGGCAGGGTTGCTTGGAAGGTCCTGTGCTAGGCATGCAGTGTCGAGCCGATGTCAATTTTGGAGCAACCGGAAGGTTAGAAGCCCAGTCCACTCTAGATGCTGTAAGAGAGCTAGGGGGGCTGCTGTTACTTGCACAAGAGAGGGCTAGAGAGGGCAAGTGTGAGCAAAGAGCGGGCGAAGGCAAATGGTGGACGACTAAAGAGCGCTGGGGCGGAGGCCCTGGAGGCGAAGTTGGTGAGGCTATTGGAGCTGCTGAGATCCTTGAAAAGGACGCAGTTTCCAAGCCAGAGGAAAAGCCTGTTGAGAGAAATCGAGACGGGTCCAAAGCTCGTCGGAGGCCAACACCAGCTGAAGTCTGGAAGACACTGCGACCTGGAAATCCGCTCTGGGACCCGAAGGTCACATACGAGGCGATTGGCAAAGACAGGAGCATCGCGTGGGACGATGTAGGGTTCCGTGCAACAGTTTCACAAAGCTCCATTTGCTAACCAGGCACCCCAGGTATTCATGGTATCGTCATTGAACCACCATATTAGCTTGTTAAGGCTTCGCATACATCCTGCGTATCTAGAGCTTATCACTGAAGGCAGACTCCCTGTTGAAACGCCACCAGAATCTGACTGGTGCTCGCCAAAATTACAGAGAACAAGGTGGTTTGACTTGTTCAACATTGAAGATCGCGCTGAAGCTATGAGAGGGGTTTGGGGCATCATGTCCTATCTCATGCGCACAGACAGCGCCGGTCACGAAAATGCTGGTATGAGTGAATGATGCAGTTTCGTCATTGGTACGCCACATATTTATCCCTCAGATGGTCGAAGAGGTCGTAATACAGATTCAACTGGAATGAATGGCAGTCACCGTGTTAGGGTGTCACCAAGTTCGGGAGGGGCACCGGAATTCTAAACCGGATTGGAATGTCACAGACTACTTGAAAGCCACACCACATACATCTAACACCTTCATCTAGTCCATAACGCTCTCCGTTCATCAATATGAGACGTCGGTCTAGATCTTCAACAACTAACAAGTTTCACCGTGTCACGATATTTTCCAGCAGTTTTAGCCGACATGCGTGCTTCACAGATTTTACTAATCCACTCTGGCTTGAAACAAAAGGTGAATTCTTCTTTTGCAAGAGTTGTTGGGCAAAAGCACAGGAAAAAGGTAGAATAAGATCACAAAAATTTGTGCAACAACGCGAGCACAACCACAACACGATTGGCCTAACCCACGTGAAGCCTTTCTTTGCGCGTTCATTTGCGTTGAGTTGACTGGTATCAATGCTTGCACAACGCATTGAGCAATCTTTTGGGCCAATCGTTTCACCAAAGGACAACGGCGTTGCTCATCAGCACCCACAACGTGACTTTGTCTCGTTCAGTATGACTGTGGCGTTCCTCGGCAGTCTGTGTTCCATAGGCGCCGTTGTGAGGCGTCTGTCAAATGGTAAACTTTCTTGACCGCCTGTTGGTGGCTTGAAACATAATGGACTGCAAAACAACCACGATCATGGGTCAAGGTTTTGCCTATACTGGCCCAGGCATCCACAACATCAGGCTCATATCAGGCTCGTAGTGTAAACATCATTCAATCATATCAGGTTGCTATTGGCTGCGAAGTAAAGCACGCAGCAACAGATATAAGTGGCAGAGGTATCTCAATCACGCACTTACAACCGCACATCGTTACAGGCGCCTTCGCACAAGACTCGAGCAAACGAAGAGGCGTGATAGGTCATGATATAGCAGCTATTACAACAGATTCTGTCCAGGCCTTGCTTTGCCCAGTTGTCGACCTATTGACATGGTGCAACTAGTCTCAATCTTCGGTAGGCATCCACATGCCGGGTTGCGACAAGATTAGAAGTACCCATGTATCTATGAATCTCGCAAAGGTCGCAGTATCCGGGGACTTGATCTCGATCTTTCACTTTCATTGAATGACCAAAATAAGCTTAAAGTTTAGTAATCGTACGGAACAGTGACATGATAAGCTGGTTGTCTTTCCGGAAGAGGATATAATAGGATGAGTACCGATACAAATCAGAATAGAGGGGCCATATCTGGAAACATTCCACCAGATGATCTCTAACGAACGCCACCAGCAGGAGTAACAGTGGCTTGAAAGCCTACGACCAAAGGTGCAGACTGTACGGTCAGCAGCCCATCGTTTTCTCCGCACACACATTCTGTCTCTCGTCTTCTCCATTTACTATTCACGGCTCGTCGTGCATCGCTGACCGGGCGTTTAGTCTACTTGAGTATATAAAGTTCCATCGCATGCCTGAGCCACCAAGTCTAGTATCCAAAATTAAGCCTTACGGTGCTTACCAACTTTCCCAACCTTGCAAGTCCGTTCATACTAGCTTCCAATCCGTCAGCAACGCACGGCTCGGCCTCATTTTCCCTTGCAGAACACCATCTAGAGCTTATCTCGCTCTGCATCTGGTTAGAAAGGCCGTTTGCAGCCTCGTTTTTGTTTATCCACAACACACAACGGCTTCCTGAGGACGGGACAGCCGCAAGATTTCACCTCTCATGGTAATCTATATCAAGACTGTACCTCCTACCCATTCCAACACAACATCATCATCATCATCATCAACCCACCACTACCCCTTCTCCCAGCCTCTGACCTCTCCCCTCTTCCAAGACCAACCCTCCACCTATATCTCCACAATGACAATCCTCACCAACTTCCTCCTCCTGCCCCTCACCCTCCTCACCACCCTCACCATATCCACCACCGCCCAAACCCCCAAATCCCGTACCCTCCACCCGGAACTCAACGCCGCCCTGCGCACCGCCGCCACATCCTTTGACCGCGCAGCCCTCCTCCCTTCCTCGTCAGACTGGACCTACGACTTCACCGCGCACCCCAACTACGACTCCCCAACCGGCGCCGTCATCAACGCCGACGCCGCCACTTTCCCTGCCGTCACCGGCCTGGGATCTAGCGTAGCGTTGCTGAAGTTGGCACCGTGCGGCATGCTGCCCCCGCATTTGCATCCGCGGGCTACTAACATAGTGACTGCGATTACGGGGAATACGACGACGTGGATGATTGGGGAGAATGGGGTGGGCGTTAGGAGGGTCGAGCTACTGCCGATGATGGTGACGGTGTTTCCGCAAGCGAGTTTGCACATGATGCAGAATAATGGTATGTTCTCTATTTCCTTTTTTTTCCAAATTCATCTTTGTACACTGGCTATTCGCTTTGGCCATGTTCTTGCTGTTGTTGTTGGCCATATATTTAGTATGGAGCATCTACATACTTCCTAATATGGAAAGTACTGTTGTTGTTGTTTTTTTGGGTAAAGTTGGTGGCGGCGGTTTACTCATCACAAACTCCACCCATCCCCTTCCTTCCCTTTGCGGAAAAAAAAGGATTACTACTAACTCGTAGTTCTCCTGCTTTTACTCATAGAGGCCTTTTTGCAAATACCGACTGATTCCTAAATATAGACTGCGAACCCTCGCTCCTCATCTCCTCGCTCAACAGCGATGACAGCGGCACTCTCAATATCTTGCCTAGCTTGTGGTCTGTACCCCAAGACATCATTGGCGCAGGCTTCGGCAACGACGCCTTCAACGCCGCGGATGTCGGCAAGGATATCCCCGCCGTAGGAACCGGCGCTATTATCGGGAGTGCGGAGTGTAAGAAGCGATGTGGTATCTCGACATGAGTTATGAGAAGGGGGGGGGGGGGTAAGAGGGGAGATGTCTATGCTAGGGTTTTGAATGGGAAACATACATTGTGGCATCTCTGTGTTGTATCGTCGTTCTTTTCGGGATTTTGCTTTTTAGCTTCTGGAAACAAAGTCGCTGGTTGTTCTTCGTTGGGGAAAAAGCGAAAAAGAAAAATATGTCAATGCGATTGAATGCCGCGGTTCTTTCGTCTCGGGAGAAAAAGAAAGCAAGAAAAAACAAAGTGTCAATGCGATCGGGCTTTTTTCTTGCCGCCGGCTGCTACTTTCTTTTTTTTCTTTGAGGTGTAAAACGGTTATGTGGCGTTCTGATGCAAGAAGCATGGTAGGGGCCAGGTGGTGACAAAAGCAATGCTTACGATGAAGAGAGAAAAAAAGAATAACGATTTATAACGCTTACCAAATGTGAACTTCTCGATTCTTTTCTGTGTTCTCGTCCTGAATCTTTATTTATAATTCAAGCGCGTCTGACATCCCCACCCTCATCATCTTCTCATATTCCACCATGATCATCGACCTACACATCCTAGTTCGGACTTTTTCGCTTAGTATAGGATCGCCGAGTGATGGGCTAACAGGGTTACATTCCTTAGGTTATGTAGAGAGAATATGCGTTTCTGAATTGCTGGGGTTAACAAAATGTGTTGTAGGTGCTACCACTGCATGATGGTATCTGCGTGTACGAGGATCGAGCGGGGTTGGTGTTTTGGAGTGTGATGGTCTTGGGAGAGATGGGGGATGACAAGGCCAATGGTAGGAATTGAGAGTGAGAAGCAAGTCAGAGATGTTTACTATAGAAGTTGTGGTAGTTGCAGTTATATTTATGGGTTGCAGGCTGCATCGTATAGAGTGTATATTGGTATATTTGCTTACATGGTAGTCTACAATGAGCTCATTGGAAACAGGACAAACCCGGCCACATAAGTTTGTGCCATCCATCTCATCACAAGCGCACAACTGCCTCTTGCGAACGACATTGGAAAATATCAAGACAATGTTACCATGTCATTATCGGAGCGTGTTGAGAATTACTCTACTGGCCCTCCTCTTGTACGTCCACAATCCCACCACATTGCTAAAGGAAAGTTCTAGCCTCACCCTTCATGCTTTCTACGGGCCGGGGGGTTGCGCCATCTCAGACATTGGCCCGTCCGGCACCGTACCCGCCGTGGCTTATCTGTGCCGAGACGGTCTAGGTACAGAGCAAAAGCGTCAGCACTCGAACCATTAACACAAAAGCCACGTGATTTATATTCCGCCCCCAAAATGCGTATAGGGCTGATAAACCCATATGCAGTAGGCCTGCACGTAAGAATGTGAGTGAGACCAAGTTTTTGTCATGCATCCACTAGGCCAAATTCCGACCGGCCGCGGCTCGGCACCAATCTCCATAGTCAGACTGCCACCCGAACGGATCGGAACGTGTTGGTCGCTTCTTTTTCATTTGAGTTTCAAGACCATGCCCTTCAAGTCGCTTCCCCTGAGGTCCTAAAATTGGAGAAAGCAAGACCTGGTCCTTCCCCGGAAAGTTTAGAAGACATGTGAGTAATGACTTCGTCTGACCAACGAAATGCATCGACCTGCTGGTAGTCAAGGAGAGAGTTCAACCCTCTGACTATCCACTCTTTAACATCCTGTGCACAAAACTCATATGCAACGACAAAACTAAGGCCTGTGTGAAACGCGCCTATTGGTCTGCTAGCCCATGCGTCTTCCCATGTCTTGCAGATTTCGAGAGCGATATACTGGCATTCGAATTGCATCTCGTATACGCTTCGATCGAAGGGCGGCAGGAGTCGCATTAGAATCTTGTTCGTCAGGATAACGACAGACCAGAAGCAGTTGTATGCGGTCATATCCCGCCAATGGTTGAAGTGGTATACTGTGCGTACAGGGCTGTCCTTTTCGCTGGGTTCTTTCTCGGATGCAACGGTCCCGTTTCTGAGTTTTGCATCCATGTGTTCGCCCAGGGTACGAAGGGCATCCTTGAGGCTGCGTACTTTTTGCAGTAAGGCAGCACGTGCAGGATCGTATGGACAGGCATATGAGTTTGGATCGACTGGATAGGATGCATCGATGGGCTGTAGTTCGTCCAGAAATTCCATATCATCAAAAGATCCAGAGGAAAAGTCAAGCGATGGGGGAGTCTCGGATGAAGACTTTTGCGATTGACCACTCGAGTCAAAATTGAGGCCCGAGGTGCGTGAAAGTTGAAAGACACGTTGGTCACCTAAATCTTTCAGCTCGTTGAAGATCCCTGGCAACTCTGCCATATATTGCATCAAATCGGTGTTTAAGCAATCATCGAATCCAAGTCCCGTCTTGTCAAAAGCTATCTCTCGCCAGCCGGGTGAGGCAAGGAAGCACGGTTTGCGTTCGTACATGCAAGTAATAATCTGTCCATGTGTCAGCTGAGAACATGATGTATCTCGGTCGGAGCTATGGGATAAAGTGGCTCTGTCCGTGGAGTATGTAGGTCGACATACAATTCCGCCTCGGTTGAAGCGTAGCATTTCTTTTGTAAACCTGTCATGATATCTCCCGGGACCTTGCAGTTCCATCAATCGCCCAGCGCCGCCTACATGGGTCAAATATCGATTCCCTGTCCTGGGTCCTGCGAACGCCTGGTGGTGTAAGTATGGTTACCAAGATAAAATCTGGCCAAGCAGATCTTACCTCAACCAGACCCAAGAGTATCGATGCGCAAAGTGTCTCGGGTGATAAACCAAGCTGTGGGTGCTCGAGGCATGTTTGTAGTGTCTTGATGGCTCGGATATAGAGTTCAGGAGAAACAATCTCATTCGCGGCCTTCTTGTAGACCAACGATGTATGGACGTTGACGAGGACAGTAACGGCGGCGTCAAGCGCAGGATTATGTCCAATTCTAGCCGGAACTTCTTGAATGAAGGATCCAAAGACGGACATTCGATGTCCAGCACTCCCGGTTCTCGTGGCTGCGATCAAGGCATGCGCGAGCTGCTGATCTTGTGACGGCGACGGGTATCTTGGGAAGGCTGACTTGGGCGGGCTCAACCCCGCTGAGATTGAGCGCGGGGACCTTTTTCGAGGCGTCGAACCGCTTTGCGAAATCCTGAACTTGTGAACCACTGAGCCATTTTCGGCGAACTTTTCGTTCAATTGCGTCAAGCGGTTGTGCCCTTGATCTATGGATTTCTGTGAATATATGGCCTTGGTTTCGATTAGTATAGCATACCTGGCGGTGCACTGGCTTCATCGCCAGCGAACCTTGTAGAGTTTGCGTTAAACCTGGGACCGAGGTCTCTGAAGGTGTGTCGAGCTGGGGGACCTGGGCACGACTTGCCGTTCTTTTGGCAGTTTACGCAAGCTGGCCAGGTCTCATCTTGTTCATCATTAGCTAGGGTGCTCGAGTCGGGCCCAAGCCATGGAGCTAGCCTTACCGCACTCTAGCAATAGTCAGAAGAAGCCCGCGCGGAGGAGAGATCCGGCGACTTACTAATTTTCCTTTTCCGGCAGATGAGGCACCCCGTGCTTTTGGGGACGCCGACCATACTTTACAGTTGGCGCACCTATCGAGGACTGGGAACACGTCGGGTCAGTAATCCGATGGGTGGTGGGATGAAGCCGTGGAATTAATAAAGACATGAGAAGGTGAATTCAAAGCATTCGCGGTCGACGCACATGAATAGCCATCTGGCGGTTGGACGATGCTGTGTATGAAGTATGCGAGATATCCGTATCCACTACGCTTCTTGGACAAGCTTCCACATTGTGGCTGCGGGCAGGGCTTAGTGCAACAGGGCTGGGTTTTCACATCCTGGACTGGCGGTGGGCGTTTGGTGGAAGATGAAGCTTGCCGACTCACGTGTTCGCAGCATGAAGCCCAAGGGGGCTAGACCTGACGCGTATACGACCGGGGCGCGATTGATTGGCCGGGCTGGATATGACGTTGGGGAGACTGAGAGTGGTCTCGGATAGTGTCGTGACTGCGGCGAGGCTAGAAAGACGGCCGAAGACGGTGCGTGAGCCGGTCAGATGGCCTGTGTTCACTGGAGCAAAGTGTGGACGAACGACGGAAGGCCCGACTGCAAGGGCAGCGACAGCCACGGCCAAGCCCAAATGCCCCAGACACCAACCGCAGCACACCCTATGGCATTTCCAAGTTCGTGATGAAGCATTAATACACACATACACGCCCACTCCCGACCCCTCGGCTTCTCCGCTGGCGCCCCGTCTGCTTACCATCCCCTTTCCCCGCTGCTAGAGCCCACACTATACGATATCCATGGACCGCAAGCCATCATCTTGTGACTCCCACACCGTACAAGATCGTCGCTGCTCCCCCGCGCCCAAGGCGGACATGGAAGACTAGTATGGCAAAAGGAGCCTCATATGCTATTCGCGCGGAGATATATGTTCAAAGCCACCGCCGTTTCCAACGTCTGCCACTTTACCGACGGGCAGTCCGGCCGCCACAGACGCAACCAAAATGATGTAAGAGGGGCCCTACTGCCGCTGGTAGGGCTGATAAGATATCTGCAGCCTAATTCTGCAACTGAGTGGCAGGTACGAGCCCTCTATGCGTTGTCCACCAGCAGTCGTAGTCCATCGGTGTGCATTGAGGCGAAGTACAGCGATAGTAGCTATACGCACATCTAACTAACCTCCTCCACCGCCTTATACTACGAATCTCGGTTGCTGCTTGCTTTTGCGTACGGCGTATCGCTACTCCAACAGTTTAACCGCGCTCGTGATCCGGAAAGTCTGCCTACCATACTATCCGCGGGAGGATCGTGGCAATGTCTAGTCGCCTTCGCGGTCGCCGTTACATATCTCCTTATTCCCGGCCCGCACACAGCCCTACTCCTGTAGCACGCAGTTTAAGACCCGGCCATATCAGCGATATATGCTCCAAAGGGCCGATTGTGACAGACAGACGCTATTGTATGCAATGGTTGCATTTCGACCACATTTTCAGCTACGAACCAATATCGCCATCTCACTTCTGGTCACTGCCGATTCTACCACCCAGGGCCTCGCCGCAGCATTAGCGCCCAAGGGATAAGCTTGCTGACCCTCCTGCAAATGATCAACCAATGATTATCATCCAGTAGTTGCACATTTAATTTACTTAAGCCAGGGGGTTGAGCATATCACAACCATGAATTGTATGATCCACCCACACAAGCCCCTTCCTAATGGTAGTATACCCACTCTTTCCCCTCTGTATTATCTAGCGTATTTTCTGTGCTCATCAAGCTGTATAGATTCTGACAAAGCATACCGTGACTGAATCGACCCTTCTAACATGCCAGCTCAGGGTATCTTCAGATACAAAATTGTCCACGCTTTACGAGACCCATGTACCGAATACGCCCCTTTCAAAACTAGCTAGTCCAGGCCTCGGTGAAAAGGCTAGCAAGAAACATACACTCGAGCCGGGCCTTTCGCTGCGACCAGATACCCCCACATGCGTCATCCATCTCGTCGGTGGCGGCGGTAAGCAGCCCAGATGCTTTGGTGCTTATCCTTCCATGTCATCTTCCTCTTCACTCCCGGCCTTCTTCTTAGCAGCCTTCTTGCTCTTAGGCTTCGCGTCTTTGGCCGTCTTTCTTTGTACTTGGTCACCAACACGCTCACGTTCACCAGCGCCTTCATCTTGAAGACGTGCACTCAGTGTCTTGAACTCCTCAGAGTCAATATCCATACCAACAAGGCTTTCCAGCATCTTGATCTCTCGGGCCCAGACACCCTTGTCCTCGACCTTCTTTCCATTCTTGTCGGTCACATCAATGGGTGTCTCGAGAACCATGGGAAGACCGTGAAAGCGCTCATCATTCATGAGATTATGGAAGGATTCGAGGCCAAGATAGCCAGTACCGATGCGGGCATGAAGGTCACGGTGGCTTGACAAAGGAGCCTTACTGTCGTTGATGTGGAAGGCCTTGAGATACTCCAAACCGATCTCCTCGTCAAACTTCTTCATCGTTTCAGCATATGCTTCAGGGGTGCGAAGGTCATAGCCAGCGGCGAAGATGTGGCAGGTGTCTAAGCAAACCCCTACACGAGTCTTATCATCGACACGCTTGATGATGGCTGCGAGATCTGAAAAGGTGCCACCAATGGTGTTGCCAAGGGTTGCCATCGTCTCAAGAACGGTAACAACTTTGCCAGTCTCTGGGTCTGCATGGGCCTTGTTGAGATTCTCAGCAATGATCCGGATGCCTTCTTCGTGGGTGGTTGCGTTAGCATTGCCTGGATGAAAGTTATAATACCGAATGCCGAGCCTATGGCAACGCGTCAAGTCGTTGAGGAAAGAGTCATAAGCCTGTTTCTTGCGTGCAGGATCCGGATGTGCGAGGTTGACCAGGTATGAACCATGAGGTAAGCAGCACTCTGCAGCGTCTATGCTGTGGTCTTTGCACCACTGGACGAAGAATTGTGCATGCTCTGGGTCCATATCCACCGTTTCCCATTTGCGTTGGTTCTTCATGAACATAGCAAAGGCGTTACCACTAGCAATGTCAGTTCTAGTCATATACTGTATGCGCCTGCACAAGGGGTGACTTCTGAAGTGGAAAAAGTAGAGTACTTACCCAATATGTACGACGTTGATGATAGCATTGTGTACGCCTAGAATGGGATTCGGTTCATATCAGCCGGTGTTCTGATCAAAACTCAAGGGACGAGCAGAACTAACCTCCGGCAATGCTTACGTGGGCGCCAACTCGCAGCTTGATATCCTTGGTACGCTCTGCAATGGGTGGAAGTATCTTTGCCGGCTTGGCCTTGGATTTAGTGACCTTTTTAGGTTTGTCTTCATCGACGTCTTCGGCCTTCTTTTTCATGGATTTGACGATCTTCTTGGTAATTTTTGTGTCTTCAACTGTGTCGCCGTCACTGGGCTTGACATCTGCACCGGACTCTTGAGCAACCACCTTCTTGGTTCGTTTCGAGGCTTTCTTGGGCTTGCCTTCGCTGCTGTCATTCTGTTGATCGACCATCTCGTCGTCAGTTTCCTGCTCGTATTTCACCTTCTTTGTTGCACGCTTGCTAGTTCGAGGTGAATTGGAGGCAACTGCAACAAACCCCTCTACCTCGGTATATTGGGCTATGGTCTTTGTTGTACGCGAATTTGTCTCCGCCTTTCTCTTCCTGCCCTTTTGTGTGGACTGAACGACAGTAACAGATTCGGTCACTATGTTCATTTAGTCAGAAATGGATGAAAGTAAGAAGCCGGGCATAGTACCTTCGAGTGGCTTAGCCATAGTGTGTGATCTTTGAAGATTATTGCTGATTGCAGTCGGAGTTTGTGAGCCGGTCAAGACCGATGATATAGTGGAGAAGCAATTGAAGGAATGCCCAAGATTATGAGGCGGAGGGCCGGTGGTTTGAGTAAAAGGAGCGAGTGGTAATGAGCGAAAGCGGTGGCGACAAGGTAAACAGCTCAATGGGCCCCTGAAAGCATTTGCGGACCAATTTCCGGGTGACGTTCGGCCTGGGCGTGTCAAAGCGGGCTTTGCTTTACCAAAGGCAGGTCCACGTGGTTTTTCGTGTAGAAACGGAGTCTGGAGCCAGCAATTGCTGTTTGTATCCGGAAAGGCTGAGTAGGAGCGCGGCTTTGGGGACGGGTGGTGCAGGAGAGAGCGAGTGTGTACGAAGACTGCAAAAGAGCGACAACGAAGCGAGTGTAAAATAGAAGTTTTGATGTTTACATAGTCTGTCCTCATATAGAAGTAATGAAGGATGTGCGGATTTGATGCGACTGTAGAAGGAAAGATGCAACAGACGTCATTGGCAAGGGACGCGTTCAGTAGAAACGCGGGCTCACATGCGCTGCTTAACCCCGCGTTAAGTCCGCAATACCCAAAAAATTATCCCCACATCCAACAGCCGACACCAACTTGTTACCAGCAGCGTCACATCCTCACGTCGACTAGAGACGCCTAGTAGACCAAAAAATTGTTTCGCATATATTTCTGAAATAGAACTCAACTCACTACGACCGCTATAAACCCCGCCGACGACACTCCAGAACCTACCCACAATCACCCAAGATGCCGAAAGCAAAGCAAAAGCGCAGCAAAGGCGCTGACAACAATTCGTCGCCCTACTCAAAACCAACGTCGGCTAAAGCGGCAGCGGCGCATTCGATCTTCAAGATGGACAAGGACCTCGGCCAGCATATCCTCAAAAACCCCGGTGTCGCAACGGCCATTGTCCAAAAAGCTCACCTCAAGCAAAGCGATCACGTCCTGGAAGTCGGTCCCGGTACCGGCAACTTGACAGTTCTGATACTCAAGGCGGTGAAGCAAGTGACGGCCGTAGAAATGGATCCGCGAATGGCAGCAGAATTGACAAAGCGAGTACAAGGCTCACCGGAAGAAAAGAGACTGACAATACGGCTGGGCGATGTGATCAAGGCCGAACTCCCACGATTCGACGTGTGCATCAGTAACACACCATACCAAATCAGTTCGCCTCTGGTATTCAAACTACTCGCGCTGCAACATCCCCCGCGCTGCTGCGTACTCATGTTCCAGCGCGAATTCGCCATGCGCCTATTCGCGCGACCCGGCGAAAAACTTTACTCCCGTCTCTCCGTCAACGTGCAAATGTGGTCCAAAGTCTCGCATGTCATGAAAGTCGGGCGCAACAACTTCAATCCCCCTCCCCAAGTCGAAAGCAACGTCGTGCGCATCGAGCCCAAGAACCCGCGCCCACAAATCGCATACGAGGAGTGGGACGGTCTGCTACGAATCTGCTTCGTCCGAAAGAACAGAACGCTGCGCGCTAGTTTCATGGGTACCGCAGCTGTCCTCGAACTCCTCGCTAGTAACTACCGTCTCTACTGCGCGCAAAACGACATCCCCGTCGACGACACCCCGCTCGATCCCAGTGAAATCACCGCGACCGAAGAGACCGAAACCATGGATGTCGACGACGAATTCAAGGGCTTTTCTGATCCTGACGACCCAGACGATGAACTTCCTGATTTCTTCAAGCAGCTTCAGGCTGAGAGCAAGAAGAGCAAGAACGGGGCGAATCGCAAGCGCAAGGGTAGGCTCGCAGAGCTTGTCCGGGAGAAGGTTAGGAAGGTGCTTGAGGATGAAACGCAGCTGGCTGATAAGCGAGCGCGGTTGTGTGATGAGGCTGATTTCTTGAAGCTACTGTATGCATTTAACCAAGAGGGTATACATTTTAGCTAAATGGGCAGCTGGAAGTGGACTGGGGGAGAAGCAAGGTGTGGCATTGCATGGCGTTTTGGGATGCTTTTATCAAGCACAATGGCGTTCTGGCTGGAAGCTCTTTTTTATGCTGAAGAAAAAGGCACGATCTGGGTGTTGATGTATGCGTTGGGACGTTGCGTTTCCTCATATGACGTAGAGAAAAAGGACGGGCAAGATCACCTACTCGGTATTTGAGCAATAGTATGGGGTATCTAAAACTACCTACTTCATTATCTCTGATTCTATTCTCTTTCTGCTCATCGTTCTTCATGTCTGGAAAAACCAGCTTACGCTCAAGTCTCAGCGAAAGAATTCGGAGGCAAAGTATCATGCTCGTAACCGTTACTTTCCTCCTGCTTAATCCCGTTCTCGACGATCGTCTCCTCATGCCCATTTGATTTTTCTTCTTCTTTATCATCTCCGCCTTCTCTCGGTCTCCATAACCTCACAGTACGATCTAGTCCCGCGCTAGCAATCAGTTTTTCGGTCGGATGCGTGTGAACGCTCAATACGGCGTCCGAATGGCCTTCGAGCCGTTGAAGTATGTTTTTGCTACTCACGTCCCATAGGACGACACTGTTGTCTTCACTGCCAGATGCTATGAAAGCATATTCCTGGCCAGCCTCACGATCGCCGTATGTACCAAAAGTACCCAAAAGCGAATACTTCTTGTTTGTGTGTCCCTGGTACGTCTTTACACACTTGCCTTTCCCTTCAATATAATTCCATAGCCGTATGCAGGAATCCAGTGTCCAGGCTAGGATATACTTTCCATTGGGTGAAAAAATGACCGAAGAAACGGGTGCATTATCTTCGTGGACGAGGGTGCGGAGACATTGACCGGTCGCTGTGTCCCAGACACGGATTAAGCCGTCGTGTGAGCACGAGACGATGAGCGTGCCGTCGCGAACAAAATCGACGCCGCCGACCGGGTCGCTATGTGCGGGAAGGGAGCGCATGACTCGGGCGGCGCGCACATCCCAGAGGTACACTGCTTCATCGTAGGAGCCAGAGACAAGCATATTGCCCTTTGGACTGAACGCTATGCTGTATATATAGTTGTGGTGACCAATGAACGGAATAGGATGTGCCAATCCAGTTGCTGTATCCCACAACCGTATACTCTTGTCGTCTGAGCCACTTGCGAGAATCTTGGAGTCTAGCGACCAGCATATTGTGCTGACACCGGCGAGGTGACCTTCGAGCGTGTGTTCAAGTACGCCGGTCTTGGCATCCCAGATCTTGATGGTGCAATCCGCAGACGCAGAGGCCAGCCAGCGGCCATCTGGAGAAAATTTGACACAGGTGATGCCTTTCTTGTGGCCGCGCAGAATCAGGGTGGGAGAGTAGTTTAGGGAGGTCGGTTTTGGTGGTGGTGCAGGAGAAGTGCGTCGTCGCCGGCCTGGCGATGAAGAGTTCGAGCGTGGCGAACGCGACCTCGACCGTGAGTATGACGGCCTTCTGTCTCGGTATTCCCGCTGTTCATCCTCGCTGTTGTCTCTACTATACCGGCGCGCAGGCCGTTCTGCTAACCTGTAGCTTGGAGAAGCATTGTGCGGTGTGTGGGAGGGAGAGCGCTTTCGCGGTCGCTCGTCGTCGTAGGCATCTTCGTCCTGGTGTCGTCTTTTGGGTGAGGGAGATGGTGTGCCGTCCATTGCTGAATGTAGAGGAGCCAGTTGTTTGGTGACGGACTGGGAAAACGCGACGGATCGGCAATATGGGCGTTAGCGTGCGGGCGGTCAGGAGCACCCCTGTAGCATTTCAGGAACTATTTCCCCAGTTGCATCATTGCACGCATACTCCGCTCTTCTCCAGGTAATACATATTCACCATGGCTTCCGAGACCGGCCAGTCACCCTCAAATATCCGCATCCTCTCGCTCAACTGCTGGGGTCTCAAATTCATTTCCAAACTCCGTAACGAGCGTCTTACCGAAATCGGTGTTCAAATCGCCGCTGCAAGTCCGCAGCCAGATATCGTCGGCCTACAGGAGTGTTGGACCCAGGAAGACTACCATGCGATTCGTGAGAAGACGAAGCATATACTGCCATATGGCAAGTTTTACCACAGTGGCATTTTCGGTGGCGGGCTAGTCATCTTGTCTCGATGGCCCATCATTGAGAGCAACATGGTACGCTATCCGCTCAATGGACGACCTGCTGCATTTTACCGTGGAGATTGGTTCGTTGGTAAAGGTGTTGCCTGTGCGAAGATACAAATGGGACCTTCCAGGGGAGATATTGCAGAAGTCTTCTGTACACATGTGTGTTCTCAATGCTCCTGACAAGTATCTGAAATGCACGCTGACATGAATAGCTCCACGCCCCTTATGAAAGCGAGCCTCACGACTCCTACATCTGCCACCGCACGGCCCAAGCATGGGAAATCACAAAGCTCATGCGTGCAGCCGCCGAACGTGGGCACCTTGTAATCGGCATGGGCGACTTCAACATGATTCCGCTATCCCTCGCACACCGTATAATAGAGACGCATTCGCCAGTCCGCGATGTATGGCGCATACTCCATCCTGATTCTTCGATCGGCGCAGCAAAGGACGAGGTTGAACGCCGTCGATGCGTACCAATGCCATCTGCCGAGTTTAATATGACTGTCAACGGCGCAACATGTGACAGCGAATTTAACTCCTGGAGGTGGAACAAGGGACAACAGAGACGTCTTGCCAAGGGTGAAAACGTGCAGATAGATCCTGCCGTCGAAGACCCCAATGCGAAGCGGCTAGATTATATCTTCTACAGCAGTGGAAGATTTCAGAACCCAGAGACAAAGGAAGAGACAGCGGAGTGGGAGCTGAAGGAAGCGAATGTGGGTATGGCAATGCGCCATCCTACATTACACTGCTCTCTTAGTGACCATTTCTCTGTGGAGGCGACGCTGACGAGGACTCCGACTGCTCTGTCAGCTGCTCCGCTGTCTCCTTCGGCCCTGCCTGAACGGTTCCTGCCCATCGAGACTTACGACGAGATCCTAGCTACAACCATGAAGTACGAGGCTAGGGAGCGAGTACAGCGTAAGCTACGAATAGGGCACTTCTTCTACCAACTATCCTTCTCCATTGGGTGCCTGATTGGTGTCTGGTGGTCGCCAAAGAACTATGTTGCTTTCATTTTGATGCTTTTGAGCACCCTAGGGTTCAGTGTGGGCGTCGTTGACGGATTGATGGGGCTGCTGTTCGTTGGTAGCGAGCTCAGGGCACTCAAGGAGTTTGAATGGGAGGTTAGGAATGCCCGGGAGAGGGCGTTGAAGGCAGGATCTAGGAAGACCATCTCTGAGGGTAGCCAGGTGTCAGACGCGTCAGAATAATAATAATAATAATAATAATAATCTAAGATGGAATTGCAATCTAATACAATTATGGTCATCGCAGTGCTGTTGTGTCTCTGTTTCGATAATTGGGAATGACGCGTGCACGTGCTGTTAAAGGAACGCGCGACGGTTGGGTCCTGGCTTGGCTCCTCGATCAACCACGACCCCAAACCTCATCCTTCCGGCCACCATAATTCAGACGTAAACCTCCATCTCTCCGCACGCGCATCCGCCTAATCGCAACAAGTACGCGATTCTAACAGTCATTTTCATCCCCCACCGAATCTCGTACACTGCCCAAACGGCCTTGATTGCACGGTTCGGAAGTCCGCAGCCCTCACGATGAGCGAATCGCAGCCCCAGCAGCAGCAGCAGCCCAACAGCGGCCAGCAGCAACAGCTGCTACGCCCTGACGATATACTCAAGCTTCAATGTCTTCCTGAGGACGAGAAGCAAAAGTATCGCCTGATCATGCAGAATTTCTGGAACATCTGCAACACCCACCAGCAGGGGAGCCAGGAAAATACCAATGCTCGCCAGAAGTTGACAGAATGGTCACAGAAGTTCATTACACGCGAGCGCCAATACAGAGCCAAGATGAAGGCACAGCAACAGCAACAGCAACAACAGGGAAACCAGAACCAGGGACAAGCAAGCCAGTCTAATGCCGCTGGCCAGCAGAACCAGAACCCCGTCAAGCAAGAAGGCGGCCAGGCTCGTGCTGAAAACACCGCGGGGGCAGTCGGCCAACAGCAATCCAACCAAGGCCAAAACCAAGGTCGTGGCCAGGTGGATCCTGCTATAGTAAAGCACGTCCACGAATTCCCCATGCAGGGGCCGTTGACCGGACCTTCGCCGGGCACGCCCGAGTACGAGGTTAAGCTGAAAGAATACCGGACGGGTTACTTGAACATGCTAGCGAAGCAGGCTTCTTTGAACGAGAGTAGAAAGAAACTCATGCAACAACTGAGCGAACGACAAAGCAACGGACAAGATTTGCCACAAGATCTACTCGTGTTGAAGGGCAAGATCGAGAAGGAGCATACCAATATGAGGGCACAAATTGACAAATTTCGAGCTTTGCAGAAGCAATGGAAGGAAGAGCGCGAACAGAACTCGCAGGGCCAGGCACAGGCGCAGACTCAAGGCCAGAACTCAGCACAATCACCGCCGCCATCGCAACAGCAGCAGCAGTCGTCGCAACAACAATCTCAACCCCAGCAGCTTCAAAGACAGCCATCACAGCCTAATATCTCTGCGCAACCTCAGGTAAAAGAGGAGCCTCAGATCAAGGTTGAGGGTGGACAGCCACAGCAGCCGCAACCGCAACCGCAGCAGCAAACGCAGCAACAGCCACAACCTCAGCAGCCCCAGCCCCAACAACAATACAACGTCCAAGGAAACCAAGGGAATCAACAACAACAACCGCCGCAACAGCAGCAGCAACTCAACCAGCAAATGCCACCTTCACTTCCTCAACAACAGCAACAACAGCAGCCTCGGCCACCGGTGCCTCACTCGCAAACAATGCCGCCGAATCAGATGCCGCAATTCGCGCAACAGCAGCAACAAAACTTTCACCAGCAGCAGCGACCACAGATTAACCCTATGCAAGCCAACGCTCACCAGCAGAGCAATTCACCACATCCGCAGTCTGCAACCGGAACCGGTCCGCCAGTTCCACTCTCTCACCAGGCTGCCGTTAGTGCTGCGAACCGATCCTATACCGATCCCCAGCGCACAAACACACCCATGCAGCAAGGCGGACAAGGTGGTAACTTTGGCAGTCGCGAGCGTGAGCAACTGAACAACCCCAAGATGCCGATTCCTCGACATCTGAACGTAACCTCACCACAAGCTGTCCACATGGGTCAATCGCGGCCAACTATGAGTGGCCCTACCAACGGCGCCCCAGGGCCAATGGGTCAGCCCGTCATCCCGCGACCACCGCCCTTCCAGCTCGAAGGCGACGGCGACCGCGTCCTCAGCAAGCGCAAGCTAGACGAGCTTGTCCGCCAAGTCACGGGTGGCTCAGAAGAAGCCCTCACACCAGAAGTCGAAGAGGTAAAGTCTTTTACCTGTCCAACAGCCACTGATCTCGCAACTAACATTCCTTTACCCAGGCCGTTCTCCAGCTCGCAGACGATTTCGTTGACAATGTGATAAGCAACGCCTGCAAGCTCTCTAAACTCCGCGATTCTCCCCAGCTAGACATTCGCGATATCCAGGTCATTCTCGAGCGCAACTATAATATCCGCATCCCGGGCTATGCGTCCGATGAGGTTAGAACTGTGCGCAAGATTGTGCCTGCGCAGGGCTGGGCGGCCAAGATGAATGCGGTTAACGCAGCGAAGGTTATGGGTGGGAAGACGGATTTTTAGGCTGGTGGATTGGAGGGGAGATGTAGGGAGCGAGAGAGGGGGAGGTGAATGATGTCCATGTCTGGAGGGTTATGAGGGTTGCTATATTCTTTTTTAAGGGTGGGGCTATTGATGTCAAGTCAATTGTTTACTCAGTAACATGTCCAAGGCACATGAGGATGGCGATGTAGTCATGTGGAGGTGGTTGCGCCTTGGAGCGATTGAAGAGTTTCTATTTTCTATTATTTACTATGGTCCATGAATCACAGAATACTATCCTTGTCATGTCTTCATTCTGGATAAATTCTAAATGGCACCTGTAGCAATTGCCTCGACGTGCTCAAAAAATAGAATCTGGAGAATAAGTAAAACAACTAATAAGGAAACAAGATATAAGCTTTACAGAGCGATGTACATGTCGTTAACCTTTTGCAATGTTATACGTGCAGCGTGTGGAACATCTTTAAAGATGATATCTAATACATTTCCTAGTCGTCACATATATCCTTATACTAAGATCCTGCCTAAGTAAATTACACCGATCAAGCAAAAAGTAAAAGATTTGCAAAAACATACGACAGCGGGGATTCGCTAGTGGTCACCCACCTAACTACTAATCCGCCGGTAAACTGCTTGTATAGGGCAGATCGGACGGGATGCCTAATTCTCAGTTTCCAATGGTCGTATGTACTCTGTCAGTAAAATTAATATAAATAGATTTGCATGTCAAACGTTTTTGCGGTCCTGGGTCAAGTATCCATAAGTGGGCTCACGTGATGGTATCGATATGAAGCTTGGCACTGCCGCACCCGCAGACCATGACTACATCGTACTTACTTTCTGTACCCATGGATTCCATGAGAATATCTACTAGTCTTGCGCTCTGGCTGCGCAATTCCATTAATCCCATAGTCTCTGAGTAGTGTATCGACGGTAACGATGCACTGTACTGGGACGCTCACCGCTCACCGCTCATAGCCTGTCTGGGCATTCTGAGTATTTTGTTGTGAGGTAAAGCCTACGTGTCGGTGTTGAACCCTGAATGGCTATACATCCTGGACCTCATCGCGTAAATGCTTCAAGTCGACTGAGCAAGATGCTTATTCAGACTAGAAGCAAATCTGAATTCATGCCATTCCATTGCTATGCGCGACTGTGTTGCATAGGAGAATGCGTAGTATCTTAGGCAGTAGCTAACCAGTAACCTGTTATGTCTGGAACCAGTGTGGTTCAGCAGCACGACATGCTCCCACGTTCTCAGCAGTGCACTGCTCCAAACTGATTCCGCGTAGCCTCCCACCAAGCCGAATCGACGTGCCCCGAGTTGCAAAAAGTAGTTACGGTGAATTTCCAGTTCAAAAGGCGGGATGCCGGATCACCTCCACAATATGGGTTCAGAGGTGTGCAAGCGCCAGAATGCTTCAGATTATCCGGTAGGCAGAAAGCCAATGTAGCAAGGGTAGTGGGTGGAATGTTTCTTACAAGCATTGTGAAGTGATTTGTGTATAGCGAATTGAGATAGGGAGTTTTGCAAGGACAGGTTGAAGGTATACTATCGGATACTTTTAGTAGTGGAAAATAAAGAAGCCTAGAGGCCTCTACTCATACATTTTCCTCTCATCAAAGGCTATATATATATTATGATACATCATTAATGTTTATAACTGTTTTTAAAGAGATCGGGTCATGCTGCGTTGTGCCTTACTCCGTGCCCTCCTTCGCGTCTTCCTTCGCACATTCCTTCGACCTGCATACCTACATAGGAGATACGCTCGCTCGCCCAGAGCCAGAATTATTGCGCAAGGTATGCCCATAAACTGGAGAGGACGTCAGAGGGAGTACAATTGTGGGTGATCCACCTGTTATGCGACGAATCGTGTCTTTGAGGCCAGCTGTACATGGGTATTTCGCGATCATTCGAGCGCTATGCCGATCAAGTAGTTGGGAGCAGGCATGACAGCGGCACGACCCCGTCCTGCATAGGATGCGGTCGAGTCAGAGCGGCAAGGGTAGGCGAGCAAACCCAGGCGAGGGCAGGCAACAGCGATGTTCCCCTAGGTACTATAAGTGCAGCATCGATGCGAGACCGTATTCTTGCGCATCCCCGCTCGCCAACACTCGACCTCTGCGTTGTATCACAGCAGCATCAGTGCTTTAGTCTAACTCCCCGTGCACTGGCCTAAAAGGCGCTAAGCTAACACTGGTAAAGGCGTTAAAGCAGTACATGCCTATCATTACGCTGTACTCACGATACTTTGAACTAGAGATCCATCGGATACCCCTTGGGCCAGTGAGGTCACAGTCACGTGCATTTGACTTCGCGAGGAAACTTGGCTATTCAAATATGGAGTTCATGCCTCATAACTTTATCTAAAGATGTTCATATACATATCCAACAGCTTCTCGATGCCGGTCACCCGCCTCGTCACGCTATACAATAACAATTTGCCAAACAGATCCAGGTACTATCCAAACAATACTCAATCATCCTGAGCATACTTTTGGGTGATGGCACGGATCTTTGGGCCAAAGAAGTACACAGGAATGCCCAGGCCAATCGAGGCTGCTACGATGCCTGCGCAGATATTGAATGCACCTTCATATCCTGCCTTATCCACAAAGCTGACTGTGCCAAAGGAGATTCCGAAGCCGATGAAACCTCTTAGAGAGCAGATGAGAACAAGGGCGGCATCGATGCGCTGAGGATAGGCATCCATGCAGTAGACGAAACTGGATACGACGACACCAACGAAGCCAAAGTACTCAAAGTTGAGCGTAACAGCGATACCTGCCCAGCTCCAATCCTTAGGGTTCTGCGCAGTCATTCCGAAGATGATTGTCGATATGAGTGTGGATATCAGTGGGAGGATGAGAGCAATGTAGCGATACTCAGGTTGACTGACGCCGCCATGCCTCTTGCTCAAAATCTTGACTACAAAGTCGCTCAAGTATCCACAGAAGAATGGAACCGCGACCGCAGTAGCGACTTGTCCGGCGAATACGTAGCCAAGCATATCAAAGTTCCAGAGATATGGGGGTTGTACCAGGACACCGGCAAATAGTGCTGACATGAGGACATAGATGCCGAGAGCCACAGAGTTGATCAAGGTCAGCCAAAGGATGTTGGGAAACCAGATGATCTGGATCATGTGCTTCCAGCAGGTGATTGCTTCGGACCATCGAGCATGGCCATTCCAGGGTAGCATGTCTCGAATAAAGCTACGCGGTGCGTAGTTGACGGTATCGAGTTTACGCTTTGTGTTTGTCGTTACCGGAACCAGAGTTCCGTCCTCTTCGATACCTTGACCAGCTGTGCAATGTTAGCATCTGAGCCAAAACTGAGAATCTAGCCATAACTTACTCAGTGCTTCCAGCGTGCGTTCATACTTTGTTTCGACCACAAAGAGGATACTGAGAACAGCAATAGCTCCACTCAGACAACCAAAGACGCCATACCACCACCTCCAGCCAAGATCGTTTGCGAGGTACGAGCTTGAGACAATAAGCGCTGCCGTGCCAAGCGTCTGGAGTGCGCAGAACCAAGCAATCACGTTTCCTCTTTCGTGCAAGTAGAAAATTTCTTGCACAATGATGGGACAGAGGGCTTCAGCTTGGCCCGCAGCGATGGACATGACGTCTCTCCCGGCGATATGCGAGGCCAAGCTGCTGCTGCATGCGCACCAAAGGCAGCCGAAAGACAAGACGATTGTCGACATGAGGTAGACTGGCCTTCGCCCGACAGCATGAGCAACAGGGATCGCGATCAGGTTTCCAACACCCATGAAGAATGCTGGCCAAGTCGCGAGATCGCTTGTTTTTGGGTCTCCGTGGTACGATGCTTTTACTATGGGCAGAATGGCACTGATTCCGCTTGCCATGAGGTTGGCGGACGCTGCGAAGAGGCCGACTATGACAAGGATGAGGTACTTTTGCCATGTCGGAAGGTTTAGAGGATCTGGGCTTGGTCAGACTGGCTTCGCCACTGAACATGCGCCTGGCTGTGGCTCACCATTGGGATCTCTGGTCGGAGTCGGGATGAGAACGATGCCGTCGTCATCGAAGAGCTTGATGGTACCCACGACGGGTTTCGCAGCCTTTTTGTGCGCATCGAGGATTTCAATGTGAGCGCTGGCCTCGGACTTGGGGTCGTGAGCAGCCATGGTGAGAGGGCGTTGATGAGAGTCAATTACATGGCGCCGTCCACAATTTGTATTGCGCGACTGCCGAGGGTGGGCATGGCTGTCGTGGCCAGGGCATTTTGTCAACGAGACAGACGGAGGACTGCTCTTTGACATCTCCCCCGAGCTGAGCCGCCCAGCCCAATAAGTACGCGTACGGATTGTGGAGGACGCGGGTTTAGGGTGTGGGGACTAGGCAGGGGGGGATGGTTTCGCGGGGAAGTGAAGCCCGAGCGGTAGGTTAGTAGCACAGTAGCACGTAGGAGCAAACTTCAGCCTCAGTCATGCTCGTCCCGTCAGCAAATCATCGTCCTCATCAGTGTCATCGTCATCATTCCAGTCAAGATCATCATAATAGCCATAGCCAACAGCAACACCGACAATAGCACCCACGGTCCAATGAGTGAGCCCGCCATCAAGACTTCGCAGCGCGTGTCACGGTCGTGCATCGAATGCGGGCGCCGCAAAATCAAATGCGACAAGAAGAGCCCCTGCCAGCCATGCATCCGCAGAAATGCTGCTCATGAGTGCAAGCGTCCGATTGCCCGGGTGAGGGGCCAGTTGACCGTCTACACTGCCGAAGACACTGGCAGCCCGGCAGACATTCAACTGCAAGACCTGCTCCGTGAACGCAATGCTCTCCAGGCGCAAATTGCCGAGCTCGAGACGGCCCTTGCTCTGTCCAAGCCATGTGGACACAGCCGCACCAGTGAATCCACAGATTACACACAGCCTGCAGCAACACTCGAGGACCTAGTTCCCGCCTTCGAGCAGTTCGATCTCGGGATCAAGGTGGGTGCAGCCGCCCGAGCCGGGGCCGAGAAAGCGATCCTCAATGGTCTCTACGAGCCCGCAGCTGATCCACTATTTCTGCTTCTTCCCAGTCGGGATGCTAGCCTTGGCATTGTCACGTTTTCCCTGCAAACACTTGGCTGGATACACTGCGCCGTCAACGCCAACGACTTCCTGGCCGAGCATCAAGACTTTTGGAAGAATGTAGAGCTCGGCACCGGTATCAAGCCCGAACAACGGCCATGGGTCGCGCTTTATTTTGCTGTCCTGACTGTCGGCATCCTCTATTCCAACCCAGAAGATGTACCCAGTGCAGCCCACCTGCCCCAGCTCGGCATGCCTCGTGCTGATCCTATTTCCGTTGCTGTTGATACTTCTCATCTCTGGTATGAGGCTGCGCTGAAAGAACTACAAAGACACGGCTTCAGCGGTACTCCGTCACTTTGCATCGTACAAGCCATGGTAGTCTTAAGCCTATGTCACTCCAACTTTGGCGAGCACCAAAGGGAATGGCTCATTTCTAGTTTTTCAACAAGCATGGCCAGGCTTCTCGACATGCACAAGCTCGGCAACGAAGCAAACTGCTCAAAGGACATTTGTCGAAGGCCAGAATGGTCTTCACCTGTGCAGCGCGAATTGGGTCGCCGTTTATGGTGGACCTGTGTCATTAGGGACTGGTAAGTGCTGCGTTATTGTGAAATACATATCATCGAGTACCGTGCCACTAACAACCATTGTACAGGCTTGGTAGCTGGGTTCGACCGCCATCCATATCACCCGCCAGCTTTTGCTGTCAGGCTTCTACTGCAAGCAACCATGGAGAATACGCTATGCCTAGCTTCTACACGATTGGTAGCCCTGGCTCTTCCGAATCTACCAATTTAGAGCCTCCTTCTCCTGCACACTACCACTCAATCTTGTCCCGTCTTTCCTACATAGTATACATCTACATCAAAGCAAATACTCACCAGACTCACTTGAAGTTTGTAAAGGCTATCGAGGAGATCACTGCCGTCCGGCGAGATCTACCCCTCCATCTATCACCAGGTTTCCCTGCCAACGAAGATGATATAATATGGGAATCTGAGTATCCTTGGATTTCATTCCAGCGATACCTCATTGCTTATGTTATTGACTTCCTCCTGTTGTCCATCACCCGGGTGCTCAACCCTCAAGAATCCAGAGATGACAGTACGAATTACAGGCAGCTTGCCCTTGAATCGGCCAATCGCATCTTGGATCACTATGCGAAGCCGGCTCCAAGAGTATACAGACTGCTGTGGACCGTATCAGCAGCCACGGTCGCCGCCTCTGTCTACATATCGCTGGATATGCTTGCCAACTCTCACGACTATCGTGGTGACTCCCGAAACCACATCATTGGCCTATTGCGACAGGCTTCTGTCGAGTTGAAGAAGCACGCAGCTGTCGCCGTCCACGCGGCCAAAGGTTCCGCTATGCTCGAAGGTCTTTTGCCCCTACTGGAGCAGCATGATTTTGATCGCCCTCGCACTTCATATTCTATGCAGGACCTGCTGCAGCAGCTTGCAGTAGCAGATCTAGGCATGCCGTCTAACCCACCGATGAACTCGGGTCCCGTAATTGACGGTTTGCCTCACGTTAGCAACGGCGACACCGTAGGTATCTTTGATGGAACTGGAAACACAATCGATGGAAGTTACGCAATCACAGAATGGGAGCATGTATTTTCACAGTTATAGCGTTTTATACAAATATCGCTGCTGTACTACATAAACCAAAACACCGCCAATAGCACGCTCTCAGTACGGCTTAACTCCAGCCAATTTTAGTAGTTTGTCCGTCAACTCGGGTTTCTCCAACGGCTCAGTTCTCTCCCAAGGATCGATCTTACCATCTACCATGGCTTTGCCTTGTGAATGGATGTTGATGTGCGGCCAGTGTGTTGTTGCTCCCCATTGCTCGAATATCTCCTTCTTCTTCTCCAAATCCTCCTTGGATGCCATAGCCACTGGTGTGTAACAGGCGTATATGACTGTGCGAATGTTGTCCGTTTCGGGGTACACAGCATAATGCATCTGCCGTGAATCCCAAAGGATCAAGTCACCAGGTTCAGCGCAGACCTTGACGAACTTGCAGCCGTGCTCCTCATACCACTTCACATCAGAGTCTTCAAAGGGATAGAAATCGTAATGAAGAGCTGCCAATGGGCCCTTGGTTCGGTCCGGTGGGTGCTGCTTGAAGAACTTGTCAAAGAGCCTAGCACTGCCTTCCATGACTACTAGACCTCCGTCTTTCGGTCCAGCCTCAGACACTAGGAGTTTCTGTTAGTTTGCTGTGGTGTTATCAGAAAAGATGACAACCTACGATTGATGATGCCTTGCACACAGGACAGGCCTTGTCGCTCAGGCGCCTGATCGACGTGTGGCCATGGCTTGGAGCCACCCATCTTCGAGGCGTTTGGTAGTGTGAGGTTGATGGTGTCATAAGATACAATAAGCTCGTTTGTATTCCAGAGTTTCTCGAAAGCAGCCAGAACGCCAGGTTCCCTATGGCGCACAACATTAGCAGCTATTGCTTACTTGGACATTTCGAGTGAATGCGTTGGACTTACTGCCTAGCCTCCCAGACATATTTCTCATGTGCAGCACAGTAGTTGAGGTACATGCCATTCTTGAAACTTTGGGGTAAGTTTTCCTTGGTCCATGTCTCTGGCTTGTTGATATCGAAGTCGTTGGGGAATGTGCCGAGCCAGTCGAGCATTTTGTTGCGGTACTTCAATGCTCGCTCCTTGGGGACTACGCCCTTGAGCACTACGTAGCCCTTCTCATAGAATTCATCTCTCCAGTCGCCATATGGCTGCTGGACGCTTTCTTCGTCGTTCAGGTATGGAGCCATGATCCCAGATCGAAATTATCAATGCAGTGTTTTCTGGAAGGAGTTTGATATTCAAAGTACTTCTACAAACAGAGCACTGCGCATACATATACAGTTCTATGCCTTCAGCAAATAGCATTTCTAGGCGCGTTCCCGCCCGTTCACGGCCGCTCCAGATGGGGCGCCTACAAGCCCCAGTGTCAAGAAAGTGGGCCGCTGAAGGCATCTCGGTCGAGTACGGGCGGGAATTTTATGTGTGTGGGACCCGCGCCCCCGGCTTCTCCAGCATCTCTCCAGCATCTCCACATACCGAGACAAGATGCATTTGCCACTTGGGCGATACATACCTCGGCAAAAGCTGTCGGTAAAATTATTGCGGCCGAGCTCGGTCAAGAATACGAAACAATAGACCCGCGAGCAGATATGTGTCTTGTCAAGACTGCGTTACTTTCCTGTTCTGGTGTGTCTGTACACCAAGCTGATATCAGCTCTCTACAGAACCAGTCACACCTCTCGCCTTTCAAGCCACCCATCTCGCCATCAAGCCACCCAAAGTAGGCGAGAATGGATACCAAAGTTTCAGCCTCCGCAAAAGAAACCTCTCCAAAGGGTTACCAGAGTCGTTGAGGCGCTCGCACACTCTCAGAAGAGATCATTGTAGAGCATGATGTAGCTGTCAAAGCCAGAGATGGACGTAAACTGTACTGTGAAATCTACCGGCCTTGCAGTAGTGACGGGAACCGTATTACCAAAGTACCCGTGATCGTGGCCTGGCGCCCTTTGGCGAAGAACATACGGGGATTGAAATCATGTCCAAGGTCAGTTAGAAAACTAACCTGGAATTCGATTCATGGCTGACAATCTATAGGCTACATAAAGTTTCGCTAATCCCAAACGTTGTCTCAGTGGTCTCGAACGTTTCGAAGGGCCTCCCCAAATCCATACTATACATATGCTGCCCCAACTTCTACGACATAACAGTTTACGTCTTAATTCACAAGCTCGACGCGCAGGACAAATCCATAATCGCTATCAATACTTCCCGGCCCGCAGCCCTCTACTCCTTGCGACATATCCAAATCAGAATATAGCAATATGATGATATATTATGACTCAACGGGCATCCTGCGAGCTTCGCACCACAATATCGACGCTGTGAAATGGATACATCTACAGTACCTCTTTCACACACACAACGAGGTGCAAAAGGCACTTCCAGGTAAGATTGGCAAGCTGGAAATCAGGCTGCGAACTGTATGCATAGATTTGGAGGCGGATGAGAGTATCGGTATTGGCAAACTTCATTATCAAATAGCACCAAGTTGCTTCATGTATTATTTTCTGTGCTCACTATTCACTCTCACACTCATTGGTGTGTAGCAGCATCTCATGTGGAGGCCCTGCGAGGTGAAGTTGCTGTTTCGAAACTTGTCACTTCCCTGCGGCATGGTCGTCGTGCTTACCCGTACCTTCCACGGATCGGTCTTGGAAGTAAACAAACACACCTCCTACCATGGGAAACCTGCTTCCCGTCTCTCATCCAGGAGAAACCTTTTTCAAATCACACATACACAAACAACACAACAGACAAAATGCAGCGCAGCGTCCCTGAGAGTGCAGCCGACCTAGACGACGTGGAACTAATCAAGCGTGAAGACAGTGAGTTGGAAGAAGGCGAGATTGATAGCTCCCCGCCTCCACTTTTCCGCATCAATGAGTTTGGCCGCCTAACTTTCGCCTCGAATGATAGTGCGCTGCACAGTAAGTACTTCCGTCCTGCCAACAGAAACTCCGCTAACGGCTCCCAGCTCAACTTCAACTTGCTTCTTACGAGTACGAAGCGCTTAAGCAGCGCTATCAAAGGCTTGCAACAAGACATGAGGAGCTGAGCAAGCTTTGCTCAGCATACAGAGATGTCATCTGCGGCTTCTCTACTAGTGAAGAACAAGCAGGGAGCATTGAGCAACTACGTGCTGAAGCTGGTCGCGAGGGCATGCGCGCCAAAGCCCTCGAAGCCGACGTGCTTAAGCCCATCATCCGAGAAGCCGGAGGACTGCAAGCGCTCGTGTCGCAGATGCAGTCTTTGCGGTCACTGATCGAGAAAGTCGGTAGTCTTCCGGAGCTTGAAGAGCTGGTCTCGGATGTGAACGTATTCCGCAGTGGCCTAAATGGGGTCAGGGGCCTCCAGGGTCTATACGGCCTCATCGCCGAAGTCAAGGATTTACGGGAGCAGAAGCTCGAGTTTCGAGAGACGAAAGCCAGGATCGATGGGCACAATGGACTCGCTGCAAAGGCGGCAAAGTATGACAAGCTTGTCCAGGCTTTCAGTGATATTCAGGCTACAGAGGAGCGCACGGCTCCAGCTGGTGCCGTAATAATTAACCCTGCACGGGCGACTCTCATTGCTTCTGTACCACTCGAGATGGACCCATATCGTGATCTGTATGAAGCCCCTCCTGTCGACAAGCCACATAACAAAACCGGTCCAAACAGTATCCCTTTGGGACCTGCACGCGTACACGGACGAACAGCCAGTCAGATTCATGAACAACCATCGTTGAAGCGAGAACCGCTAGAGAATATGGAGGAAATCATCAGCAAGCGCCCTCGAGTCGATCTTGAACGTTTCTCAACTCAGATACAAAGGTCCATGCCATCGTTTCATATGGAAAGGCCATCATATGATCGTCACAAACATCCAGCCGAACATGAAGTCCCACGTTCTCGATCAAAACCGGCGGTGAAGCAAGAAGACCACCATGTTCCTGAGGTACAAAGCCCTAGCGCCCACAACCGACAACCTGAAATTTCGCCTCTCTCAGCTGTCGCTGCTGAGAGCGTTTGTTTAACTAAATCTATGGTGGCTGGTCGCTACCCAATTGCACTTTGGACAGGTGACACTGACCCTTTTGCTCCGGAACGACCTGGGAACATGAAAAGGAGTAGCGAGATTCCTGTGGAGCTTGGAGAGTTTCTGATCAAAGAGCTTTCCAAGCACATCACTGGTGCGGTCGGTCAGCTCTTCGACACGATGCCGCCGAACAAGGACACATGCATACTCCGATACGTTCTGGATGGTCATAGGCCCTCAGGCCAACCGCAGGCGCGCAAGGCTTGTCCTTTGTGCTCATCGACATGGGTTAAGCATCACCGTCCATGCGCTCTGCTCCTCGGGATCGATGGTGTTCGCACCGTGGTGTTCATGCCACTTCCTGGCAGACCTGGTGAGCACACACACTGGACCGAGAAGAACCACTGGGTAAAGGTCACTGAATAGGCAGTGGATCTGGTTCAGGATGATCGGTATGGCATGGCATGAGATATATGGTATAGCCTGTTAGCAAGTCAGAGACTATGAGCACATCGTCGCGCAGGCTGTTACCCACTTGACAAGCAGCCGAGGTTATGAGTATAACTCGGCATCATCCGGTCTTCTCATTCCATGCGCCTCACCGTGCTCGGGGAATTGTGGTCTTTTCAAGGCTGTGCCTTCCTTCAAGTAGAGAATTAATCTAAACGCTGCGTTGCCATTCAGGTAGTACCGATGTAGCCTCTTGCTTCTTATAAAGCCTAACCTTTCATACAACTTTAGACTTGCGGTGTTTGTGACTTCTGTCTCCAAGACTATCTCGTCGGCGTCGCGTGCAGTCATGGCGTCGACCGCCAACCGAACGAGCTTGGTAGCTATGCCGCGGCCTCGATATTCCTCCTTTGTTGCGAGCATTGCGACATAACCCCGGTAGGTCCCTGAGCGGTGCGGTTCGAGCTTGCATGTGATTACGCCGATTAGGGTGTTGGCGGGGGAGAGCGCCTATGAAGGAAGTTGTTAGCGAAAGTTATGGAAGCAACAGATCAAAAGGCCCAGGTTTAGAAGAGCATGCATACCATGTAACAAAGGTCACCCCATTGGTACAGGAAATAGCGGTATACATAGATACTATAGGGCTCGGAGAGGTCCTTGGAGATTAGTTGGCGGATGGCGGGGAGATATTGCTCTTCCTTGGCGGGCTCGTATTGTATATACTGGAGGTCCGAGTCCTTTAGGTCCTTTGGATCGCCAGTCTTTGGCGCATCGGCCGCAGACACACTGTCGTCATTTTCTATCATTTCGCGCGCGTGGAAGTCAGTTGTTGAAGCCGGCGGCAAGTGGAGTAGTAGTTGGACAAGGCTGCGGAGAGACCCCCGGCTTGGCAAAAAACAGGCGCAAACGAGTAGCGTGCCTTCCGAAGGACCCTTGTGTCGATCGTTCCGTCACATGCCGGCGGATTCGGACATTTGTGAACGGAGCAAAATAGGTCCTTCGTGTAGGGAGAAGCAGCTGTGCTGGTTTCTTTTCTCACCAAAACTTTTTCACCTTGGATACTCTTTTTAATTAGTATACGCAGATGTCTTTTCTGAGACGTCGCTTTGGCGGCGGCGCCAACGGCGGCGAAGCAGAGGACTCGACGCCTGAGTTCTCTCCCGAACCCTCTCCAGGAGCAGATGGTAAACGGCCAGCGAATCTACGGGTGATCACCGCGGAGCAACTGGAGACATTGAAACAGAAGGGAAAACACAAGAAGAGGAATAACGTATGGGGTTTCGTTCTCGGTGGCTTATTCGGACTGCTGGCTGCGGGGTTCTTTGCGAGCAATAATGATATGATTGACCTGACGAGTCTGGGAGAAGTGAACCTGGAGAGTATCTTGGAGGCACTACCAGAGAACTTTGTGAAGAGTGCGCAACAGTTTCAGGTATGCGCACTCTTTCTGTGTATAGAAGAGGTCTCGAGGATAATAGAGAGGGATGGAGGCTGACTTTCACCCCTCCACTAGAAAACCGAACGAGACGCCGTAAATTACGATTCCTTTGCCGTCGGGCTACACGCGAAGAAGCAGGGCATAACGGCCAAGCACCCTGTTATCATGATCCCCGGCGTCATCTCCACGGGACTGGAATCCTGGGGCACAGAGGAAAGCTCAAGGCAGTACTTTCGCAAGAGACTGTGGGGTTCATGGACAATGATGCGCGCATTGGTTATGGACAAGGCCCAATGGAAGCGCCATATCATGCTCGACAAAGACACTGGTCTCGATCCCCCAGGCGTCAAACTACGGGCGGCACAAGGATTCGACGCAGCAGACTTCTTCATAACCGGATACTGGATATGGAACAAGATTCTCGAGAACCTTGCTACAGTTGGATACGATCCCGGAAACGCCTTCACAGCGGCCTACGACTGGCGCATGTCCTACATGAACTACGAGATCCGCGACCAATACTTCACTCGTCTCAAGTCGCACATCGAAGTCGGCGTGCGCGTCTCAAACCAAAAAGTCGTTCTCCTCTCTCACTCCATGGGCTCCCAAGTGCTCTACTACTTCCTCCACTGGGTCGAAGCCGAAGGCTACGGCAACGGCGGCGCAGACTGGGTCGACAAGCACATTGACTCATGGATCAACATCTCAGGCTGCATGCTAGGCGCCGTCAAAGACGTACCCGCCGTGCTCTCGGGCGAAATGAAAGACACCGCCCAACTCAACGCCTTCGCTGTCTACGGCCTCGACCGCTTCCTCTCGCGCTACGAGCGCGCAGAGCTCTTCCGCGCAATGCCCGGTCTCTCCGCCATGCTGCCCCTCGGCGGCAACGCCGTCTGGGGCGACGAGACCGGCGCTCCCGATGATCCTCCCGGCCAAAACGAAACCCACGGCCGTTTCCTACGCTTCCGCAATTCCAACTCGACCCTCACCAAGAAAAATATCACAGTAGATGACACACTGCCGTTCCTCTTCCGCAACACCGAACCCTGGTTCAAGAAAATGGTACTATCCTCGTACTCCCACGGCGTCGCGCATACAACCAAGCAGGTAGAAGATAACCAGCTCCTCCCCGCAAAATGGATTAACCCCCTCGAAACGCGTCTCCCGCTCGCCCCGAACCTCAAAATCTACTGCTTCTACGGTGTAGGCAAGGAGACGGAGCGCGCATACTATTACCGCAGCGATGACGATCCGGTCAGCGAGCTAAATGTCACACTGGATACCATGTATACCCAAGGCAATGTGGATCACGGAGTCGTCTTGGGTGAGGGCGATGGCACGGTGAATCTACTCAGTAGTGGGTACATGTGCACCAAGGGCTGGAAAATCAAAAGGTATAATCCTGCCGGGGTCAAAGTGACGACGTTTGAAATGAAGCATGAGCCTGATGGGTTTAGTCCAAGGGGTGGACCGAATACTGGTATGTTTTCCTCTCGCTTATCTTCACCCATCTTGTTTTTCTTTTCTTTTTGTGATCTTCTGGCTAATGCGCGAGGTGTAGCCGATCACGTCGATATCCTGGGGCGCATGTCGTTGAATGATTTGATTCTGCAGGTTGCGGGGGGACGCGGGGAGTTGATTGAGGAGACGATTCATTCGAATATTCGCGAGTATGCGGAAAAAGTTAAGATATATGAGGAGGAAGAGTGAGTGAGTATTTTAAGTGCGTGAAGCTGGGAGACGTATGTATGATGTGGTGTATATGGGAATAATGGGATAGAGCTGGATGGACGGGGTGGGCTGACTTCAGTGACTTGAGAGCATGATACCATAGACCAATAAAGTGCGTTTTTTTCCTTTGCATTATGTTTTATATATGCCATCCCATCTTTATGGGTCTATCATCTTACTTCTTCTCCTCTAGACTCAGGCCCTCGATAGCCTTCTCACCACCCTCTGTCCCCACATCTACAGTCGCCTTGTCTTCACCTTCAACATGACCATCTGGCTTGGCCTCAACATTCCTCTTCGGGTGGAATGTACCCTTGTTCTTAACCTTCTTCTCCTTCTTGACTACAGGTGGTGGGGGATAAGCCTTTTGCTCAATTTCTTTCCACTCAGGGTTGGCCTGGAACTCCTTTTGTACGGGCTCAAGCAGGGTGATGAGGGCTTCTGTGACAGCAGGCTTGAGGTCCTGGGGAGTGAGGATATCGTTTCGGTAGTCCTCTTGCATCTTCGTAATGTCAGTGTAAATGAGGGGCTCGCCCTCGCGACGCTTGACGACAAACTTGGGTTCACCGTGGATGAGATGGCCAGCGGGGAGGAGGACGTATTCGACGAAGCTGAGGACACCGTTTTCTTCGACCACCTTTGGTGCGGCATGCGCTTTCTTGAGCTTGCGCTTGACTACATCCGCATCGTCAAGAACATCAATCTTGGAGTCTGGGTCGGAAGCGCTCATCTTTCCACCTTGCAGACCTGGGACCATAGGGTTCATCAAGTGGGCGCGCTCCTTGTAGCCAATCTTGGGTAGCACGTCCTTTGCGAGTGCAAAGATCTTACGTTGGTCTACACCGCCAAACTGTACGTCTACGTCGAGGTACTCCTCATCGAGAGCTTGCATGAGAGGGTAGAGAAGTCCACTGAGTGGCGCATTCTCCGTCTGCTTAACGACTTCGGCACCAGCCTTTTTCGCGGTAGCCTCGCTGGTTATACTCGCCAACCTAAGAAGATCCATTGTGTAGTCCGCGTTCAATTCGTAGCTTGAGCCAAGCACAAACTCTAGTTTTTCGATTGGTACTTTGACCGCCTTCAGAAGTGCGGTAATGGTGTAGCGGTAGTATTGGGCACGGAACTTGACGAGCTCAATAGGCGCTTTCAGGTTGTCGAGGAAACCGTGGATGTCGGCAAGGAGAATCTTAACATGGCAGCCTGCTGCGAGGAATTGTGCAAGCTTGAGGATAGGAACGAACTACATGGAGCCTGTCAGTATCGCACGCGACTGAATTCAAATCGCAAAAGACGCACATATCCGCAATGAGGCCGTCCTGTTGTCGCAGTACCCCAGTAGACCTTCAGATGGCCCTGCTTCTTCAATGCTTCATCCATAATCTCCGGGTTCAGCACTTCAGCCAAGTTGACCTTGATGAGCGACATCTTCTCCTCAGCCGACAAGTTTGCGCCGGGGCCATCGTATGCGGCATCTTTGGCCTTTCGTAACCTTTCCTTTGCGTCTTTGAGTTGTGATTGCGCCTCTTCAATTCGCTTTTCGATTGCGGTAATCTCGTCTTGGATGGCGGCGGGGTCGGCCATCGTGTCGGCTATGGCGGGGTATAAAGAAGCACGATTGGTGTATTTTAGGAAATTGAACGAAAGGGAAGATGGAGAACTCAGATACAAGAAACTTGAAATAGTCAGAACACCGATTTATGGTTGTTCGAGCTCAGCTGGGGCGAATGTGGTGACTGCAAGCTTGAAGCGCGAGCTGAATGAGTCGTGGTGGGGCTGAAGGCCAGTCACCGAAATAACATTTACAGGGTCCAATGCTGGCTGTGCCACACTCGATGTGGCTGGCTGTGTCCGCGATTCGGTAAGGCTAGCTTCTCTGCAGCAATCTTAGGCGTACCATAGATCCATACATAGGAATTTGAAAATGGGTTATTCAGAGAGATGGCTAAGAATGCAAGTCTTAGGCTTGGCTCTTCCAATGTCACTACTACTGAGCTTGTGATGCCGCAGGGATGTCAAAATAATTCAGCCAATGAGTCATCTTCCATCGAAAGTTCGCTGAGAAATTTGCTTTCCATCGAGAAGCAATGGAGTATTCAGTTATAGCCAGCGAGAGTATGCTTCTGAAAAGAGTTAGTTCACAAGCCCATCTAGTACTGTTCAAAACGCGCAAGAATCGAGTTAGCAAGGCAACGCGCTTGCTAAACAAGTGTTTTCTGATAAAATATCTAACGAGTGTATAAACAAGAAGCCAAATCAGTCTAACACAAAAGCCCAAAGAAAAAGAAGAATCAGTAACCAAAAAGCCCAAAATCATCCGTCATGATCGTAAAAACGCCATCGCTATGAATACTCAAATCGTGAATGCCATGTCCCTATACCGCTAAACCATCTCCACCCCAATTGCTTGTCTGGGTACGCTATATTTACTGAGGCTTGCACTTGGCAAGGCAGTTGTCCATGTCCTGAGCTAGGTTAGGAGGAATCTGCTTGCGGAACTCCTCAATGTTGGAGGCATCAATGGAGCTAGGGAATCCCAGCGTAGCCTTGAGCACACCCGAGTTGAGAGCAAAGAAGTTCTGCGCAACCTGGCTGGTACCAGGGTCCTCGGAGTTGAGGGTAGCGACGAAAGTGGCGTTT